TCTTTGAGGGCTCTGTCTGTCTTCAGTTTCTTGAACCTTACATATGTCTCCTCTCTCTTTTTAACTCAATATCATAACATGTTTAAACAGGTCAATTAAAAGTGTCTACAGGAGCCATCTGCAACGTTAACCTGCTTTTATCTAGCTCCCTTTCAAAATCAATCCAATGCAATTGAAGATACTGTGTGATATCACTCACTATAATTAACACTGTCCTTGAATAAGGTGAAGAGAAAGTAATGGCAAGTTAATAAATTAATGAAATAATGCAAGATGGTGGCTCTTAAATGTATGTTTATAAATTACTCTACAAAGTAATAGGAGTTAAAACATTTATTGACACTTATAGAAATTAAGTAAGAAGTAATAAATGTCATGAACAATTACCCATGCATACATAACAATATTTCACATTCGCTGGAGAATTGTAGTTTTAAGATCAAAGATTTTCTGAAGTTGATCAGATCTCACCTCATCTAATACTTATGTTTTATACCTTTCTCCCCAGACTTCAGAGGATTACCTTATTTGATTAGCTGTTCTTTGATAAATAATAAGTACAATTCCCCAGACTTTGTCATGATTGCACCTTGCCTAAACTCTTAATTAAATCATTCAACAGCAGACAATTCCCAAGAGGTTGATGAGCAAAAGTTCAATTCAATGTTTTCACATCTCCATTTCCATTATGCAAACACCAATACAAAAGTTAAATACCACAAGTGCTGGAAACCTGAAATAAAATCAGGAAATATTGAAATGCAGGTCAGGTAGCATCTGCAGAAATAGAATCATCAATTTGTAACATAAATTTTGTTTTTTTTTCAGCAGATGCTTCCTAACCCGAGTGCTTCAACATTTACTGTTTATATTCCTTACGTAGATCATCCCCTTGGATTGATTAACATTACTTGTATATTAAATATATCTCTGAAATGTACAGGTGAAGGGCGTTGTTTTGTAAGTACATAGAGCACTCATAAAGAGAGGCTGGTGTGAGAATTGTTCCCCAAATTACTACAGTTCCAGACAGATACCCCAAAGGTGAGCAGGAACGAACTAGATCCTTTTCTTTATTTACTTGCCCCCTTGGTTGGTCACCAACAGGTTAATTTAAAAAGGGTCGCTTACTTGTGGATGTCTTTCTCCCAAACCAATTGAATTTATGTTTAAAAGTAGCCAATTAAATCAGGTTTTCTTAAGTTAACAAAAGAGTGAGTCTATTCATTACAAAATGTAAAAATAACAACAGAACACACGTACAGACAGATTAGGAATAAGGAGTCGCAGTTAGATAGATAGATAGGGTGGTGAAAAACACGTTTGGTACGCTTGTCTTTATTGGTCAGTGCATTGAGTATAGGAGTTGGGAGGTCATGTACAGGACATTGTTAGGCCATTTTTGGAATATTGCGTTCAATTCTGGTCTCTCTGTTATAGGAAGGATGTTGTGAAACTTGAAAAGGTTCAGAAAAGATTTACAAGCATGTTGCCAGGGTCTAAAAATTTGTGCTGTAGGGAGACGTTGAATAGGCTGGAGCTATTTTCCCTGGAGCATTGGAGGCTGAGGGGTAACCTTATAGATGTTGATAAAATCATGACGGGCATGGTTAGAGTGAATAATCAAGGTCTTTTCCCTGGGTTGGGGGAGTCCAAAACTAGACAGCATAGGTTTAAGGTGAGAGGGAAAAGATTTAAATGGGACCTCAGGCAACTTTTTCCACACAGAAGGCGATGCGTGTGTGGAATGAGCTGCCAGAGGAAGTGGTGGAGGCTGGTACAATTACAACATTTACAACATCCAGATATATGGATGGATATATGAATAGGAAGGTTTTAGAGGGATATGGGCCAAATGCTGGCAAATGAGACTAGATTTATTTAGGATATCTGGTCGGTATGGACGAGTTGGACCAAAGAGTCTTTACAACTCTATGACTATAAATGCAAGCTTTCTTGGAGATATTGACTTTTGTTACAGAGCCTTTATAAATGACTATCACATTTTAATTTGTGTTTAATTGATTTATCTCAATTTGTTTTCAAAATAGTGTAAAGAGATTTCTGAAACAGTGGGCCGTCAATAGATTAGAAGAAGGAGTAGGTAATGCTGCATTCTGCGATTAAATCTATGGTGAAGTGTCTGGTGTAATGCTTCAACTGGTTTGGAATTGATTTAACAGTTAATACTCTTAGCCATTGAATTTATAACTTCTTGAATTGATAGTGAAAGCATATATCTTGGGACGACGTTTAATTGCTCTAAAGATACCATGTATCTAATTGTTCCCTGCAGTTAACAGATCAATTGGACAGGAATTAGCTGTTTTATAATAAAGGAAGTCTGTTCACCTCTGCTGAACTTCTACTCAGCTAAAGATTGACTCTGCCTGCTGTGCGACATGGCTTTTAATTTCAGGTGAACATTAGCAACACAAATGCATATAAAAATGTCATCCAGATATGAATTGTAAAATAAATCAAGTTAACCTTTTCCTTACACATTTGCTCATAACACCTGCAACCTTTACCACCCAAGGATGTAGATACATAGGAACACCATTGCCTGCAAGATTCTCTCTAAGCCACACACATCCTGACTTGGAAATATATAGGCATTCGTTCAATCTTTCTGAGTCAAAATCCTGGAATGTCCTTCCTAATCTCAAGGACTGCAGTGGGTGAAGAAGGCAGTGCACCTTCTCAAGGGCAATTAGTGATGGGCAGTAAATGCTGGCCCACCTCTGATGCCTGCAGCCCTTGAATTAATATAAAAAAAAAGTCTCTTCCAAAGAGGTCTGTGGCTGGATTGTGTTCAATGAGGATCCACTCTCCCTCCTTGCCACGAGTATGATAATTTCCCTTCCTTTCCCTCTCCTCCTCACTCAGATGCTTTAACTTGTATGCCACTCCACACCAAATGAGGGAGAACTTAGGACTTAGGACAGAGGAGATGAACAATCTGCTCCGAGCCAATAAAGTAAACAGCTTGTGAGGCCTTGGGGTCTTTTTTAAAGTTGGAACAATAGAAACACCACGAACGGGAGGGGTCAAGCTCCCACAAAACCAGGATTTTAGTTTAACTTTCAGTAGCAGTTGGGGTTTGGAAGCTGGGGTTTGGAAGCTGCTATACATCTCTCCCTGCTACAGCAAAACACTTGAGTTCTGTCATGTTCTCAGATAGTTCCCTTGATGTTCTTTCCTCCTGGACTGGAGATTTGCAAGTGAAACAGTCTACTTTACTGAATTTGCCTTTGCCAAGGGTTTGTTATGGGATGTTACTATATTGGAACAGTTGCTGTTTAGTATTTAACTCATCTATTTTCTGTTTCAGTTTTCCTATAGAGTTGTTACTCCAATTCCTATTTCTTTTGTTTATATTTTTACTATAGCATAAAAATAACATTTATTTTGCTTCAAGCCTGGTAGTTTGACCAATCAAAGTGCATCCGGAACACAACACCTTATATTTGCCTTTAAAAATAAGAAAACGTTGGAGTCTAGGCTATCTTCTTAATATATTTTGAGGGTGGTTTGGTCCGGTCCATAACAGGAGTAATCCTACACTTGACCTGAAAGTGGTTTGGGAGTTTATGATTAGAGAATGTTCTAAATTACCTCTAACATGCTATGCCTGGAGGAATGTGATGCAAGAGTGTTGAGAGAAATTAACATTGATTCTATTGTATCTGAGCTGGAGGTGATTAATTGGGCCAGTGTAAGGGGTGTCTTACACTGCAGTAATTAAAACCATCCCTTAATTGGAGCTGTTTAATGGGCCAGTGTGAGAAAGACAAAAAAAATGAAAACAAAAAGTGCTGGAAATCATAACGGGTCAGGCAGCATCCATGGAGAGAAAGCAAGCTAGCGTTTCCAGTCTAGATGACTTTTCATCAGAGTAGAGTCAACTGGACTCGAATCGTGAGCTTGCTGTCTCTCCATGGATGTTACCTGACCCAATGCGATTTCCAGCATTTTTTTGTTTTCAGTACAGCTTCCAGCATATGCAGTATTTGCTCCTATAAAGACAAAAGGAATATGTTATAATCAACTCTTTTTACATTCTCAGAATGTTTCTACAGTGAAACATTTTTTAAATGAAGTTTTATAGACAAACACAAAAGCCATTTTATAAAGTAAGATTCCATCAACAGCAAATGATAAATTCAATTGTGTTTGGTGTTGTTGGCTGAGGTGGGAAAGTTATCCAGGAAGAAATCACTTGTTCATCTTCAAAAGGTGATACAGGATCTTTCAGTCCAGTTTAATATACAGGCAAGGGCCTTGTCTTAATCTCTGATTTGAAACACAGCACTTCTGATAATGTGATTAGGTCACTTTTGGAATACTGCATTCAATTCTAGTCTCCCTGCTATAGGAAAGATTGAATTGAATTGAATAGAATTAGCTTTATTGTCACATGTACTCAAATGAGTACAGTGAAAAGCTTACAAGAGTCAACTTATGGAGCCAATTTAGGTACAAAGGTACCTAGGTACAGATTCTTTAGTAGAAGTTCTTGGAGAAACAAAACAGAAAAACAGAGAAATAAAGTTGTTAAACTTGAAAGGATTCAGAAAAGATTTACAAGGATGTTGCTGGGATTGGAGTTTTTGAACTAAAGGGAGAGGCTGAATAGGCCGGGGCTGTTTTCCTTGGAGTGTCGAAGGCTGAGAGGTAACCTTATAGAGATTTATAAAATCATGAGGGGCATGGATGGAGTGAATAGCCAAGGTCTTTCTCCCATGGTTGAGGAGTCCAAAACTAGAAGGCATAAGTTTAAGTTGAGAGGGGAAAGATTTAAAAGGGACCTAAGGGGCAACATTTTCACGCAGAGGGTGGTGTGTGTACGGAATAAGCCGCCAGAGGAACTGGTGGAAGCTGGTACAGTTACAACATTTAAAAGGTATCTGGATCGGTACATGAATAAGAAGGGCTTGGAGGGATATGTGCCAAATGCTGGCAAATGAGACTAGATTAATTTAGGATATCTGGTCGGCATGGACGAGTTGGACCGAAAGGTCTGTTTTCATGCTGTACAATTCTATGACTTATGACTCTAATACTCACTTAGTTATTCCATTGAAGTGTTAGCGTAGATTGTGTGCTCAAACACTTCTCAGCATTAAGATTGGTACTAGCTGAATGTAGAGGGAAATTTACACTGGATCAATCTTGTGCTGTATTTGACCTGGAGCTGCTTAGTGCTGTAATGGAGAGGAAGGTTTACTGTATATCACATCCCTACTGTACCTAAGTTTGGTGTAGCATATATTGCAGATAGCAGAGGTATTCCACCCCCAAGGTTTTCTATCAACAGAAAATCTGAAAATAATGTTAATAGTTCCTGTTTCTTTGAAGTACAGAGGTCCCACTTGCAAGAATAATAGATCCGGACAGGACTGAACCAGATTTCCAGACAACCTCTGACAGCACTTAACAGTTACAGGTAGGTGCTGAGTATCTCTGTGGAGTTCAGCTGCAAGTACTCAAGTTCCCAGTCATTCTCGCCCCTGTCTTCAATTCCTGCTTCCAATTCTAATGCTCTTCTCTTCTCCAGGGATTCAATTATCATTTGAGCAAAATCAGCCTGAAGCCTCTGCAAATTTTCCCTGTGGAAATAAAAGCAAAACTATTAAATTCCATAAGTCCATAACACATGGTTTAGTTTGTTCAGATGTGTGTAATGCCACAGGCTGAACAAGTCAAGGGAACCATCCTGGAGCAAGTAAGAAGTACAGATGTGGACTCACTGGTTTCAATGCACCAAGTGTTACAATCCTGACTAACTTTAAAAGTAGGATGAATTAATTGATCGAGAGCCAGATCCACATTGGGTCCTGACATATCAGCTCAAGATGCCGGTTTTGTGATTTAAATACAAGTCTTGAGTAACTCTGGCTATTGGTGTCTGCACAAAGACTATACCTTACAACATCACCAGTCACGTCAATTCTGTCTCCTCACTTTCTCTCCAATTGTTATACATTATTTTAGTGATTTATGTTTACTTATTTATCTTGTCTTCATAATCGTTAACATCATTATTACCACCATCACTGCAATTCCCATTATCACTGTTGTGGTATTTTCCTGGAGGTCTGGTCCTGGAACTTTGTGATATTTGGAACAGGGTCCTGTGGAGGGTAGCATCTTATGGAGGGCAGGGTCCTGTGGAGCGTAGTTTCCTGTAGAGAGCGGCATCACGAGGAGAGCAGAGTCCAGTGTTTTATGGAGAGTAGACAAGGTTCCGCACAGTAGACAAATTAGTAAAGTTAGGTCACATGGGATTCAGGGTGAGCTCGCCAATTGGATACATAATTGGCTTAACAGCAGGAGACAGAGAGTAATGGTGGAGGGTTGCTTTTTAGACTGGAGGCCTGACACCAGCAGTGTTCCATAGTGATCAGTTCTGTGTCCTCTTTTGTTTGTCATGTATATAAATGATTTGGATGAGAATATAGAAGGCATGGTTGTTAAGTTTACTGACAACACCAAAATTGGTGGCATAGTAGACAGTGAAGAAGGTTTTCTAAGATTACAAAGGAATCTTGATTAAATGGGTCAATAGGCTGATAAATGGCAGATGGAGTTCAATCTGGATAAATGTGAGGTTTTGCATTTTGGTACAACAAACAAGGGTAGGGCTTATACAATTAATGGTAGGGCCTCGGGTAGCGTTATAGAACAGAGGGACCTAGGGGTGCAGGTACATAATTCTTTGAAATTTGTGTCACATATAGACAGATTGGTTAAAAAGGTGTTTGGCACGTTTGTCTTCATTGCTCAGTCACAGAGTCATAGAGATATACAGCATAGAAACAGATGCTTCGGTCCAACTCGCCCATGCCAACCAGCTATCCTATATAAATCTAGTCCTATTTGCCAGCATTTGGCCCATATCCCTCTGAACCCTTCCTATTCATATACCATCCAGATGCCTTTTAAATGTTGTAATTGTACCAGCCTCCACCACTTCCTCTGGAAGCTGATTCCATACACAGACCACCCTCTGTGTGAAAAAGTTACCTCTTAGGTCCCTTTTATATCTTTACCCTCTGACCTTAAATCTATGCCCTCTAGTTTTGTACTCCCCCACCCCAGGGAAAAGACCTTTCCTACTTACCCTATCCATACCCCTCATGATTTTATAAACCTCCATAAGGACACCCCTCATCCTCTGACGCTCCAGGGAAATTAGCCCCAGCCTATTGAGCCTATCCCTGGCAACACTTTTGTAAATCTTTTCTGAACCCTTTCTAGTTTCACATCATTCTTCCTATAGCAGGGAGACCAGAACTGTGCACATTACTAGAAAAGTGGCCGAACCAATGTCCTATACAGCCGCAACATGAGCTCCCAACTCCTACACTCAATGCACTGACCAATAAAGGCAAGTATACCAAACGCTTTTTTCACTATCCTTTTTACCTGCGACTCCACTCCCTTTGAGTATAGGAGTTGGGAAGTTATGTTGAGGTTGTACAGGACATTGGAAAGGCCTCTTCTGGAATACTGTGTCCAGTTCTGGTTGCCCAGTTATAGGAAGGATATTATCAACCTGGAGAGTGTTCAGAAGAGATTTACCATGATGTTGCTGGGTATGGAAGGTTTGAGTTATAAAGAAAGGCTGGAGAGGCTGGGACATTTTTCACTGGAGTATAGGAGGTTGAGAAGTGACCCGATAGAAGTTTATAAAATAATGAGAAGTATAGATAGAGTTAGTGGTGGTTGTCTTTTCCCTTGGACGGGCATTTCAAGACCAGGGGCTACATTATTAAGGTGAGAGGACAGAGATTTAAAAAGACATGAAATGCAAATTTTTTTACACAGAGGGTGGTTCGCATATGGAATAAACTTCCAGAGGAAGTGGTGGATGCAGGTACAACATTTAAAGACATTTGGATAGGTACAAGAATAGGAAAGGTTTGGAGGGATATGGGCCAGGAGCAGGCAGGTGGGACTAGTTTAGTTTATCTTCGGCGTGGACTGGTTGGACCAAACAGTCTGTTTCTGTGCAATGTGTCTCTATGTGACAGGAATAATTGATGATCTCATAGTTAGGGATCCTCTTGGAAGGAGTGATCACTGTATGGTTGAATTTAAAATACAGATGGAGGATGAGAAAGTAAAATCCAATACCAGTACCTTGTGCTTAAATAAAGGTGACTACAATTATGTAAGAGAGGTGTTGGCTAAGGTAGACTGGGAGCAAAGACTATATGGTGGGACAATTGAAGAACAGTGGAAGACTTTCATAGTGATTTTTCACAGTGCTCAGCAAAAGTATATACCAGTGAAAAGGAAGGGCTGTAGGAAAAGGGATAATCAGCCATGGATAACTATGGAAATAAAGGAGGGCATCAAATTGAAAGCTAGTGCATACAAAGTGGCAAAGATTAGTGGGAAACTAAAGGATTGGAAAATCTTTAAAGGTCAACAGAAAGCCACGAGAAAAACAATAAAGAAAGGTAAAATAGATTATGACAGTAAACTAGCTCAGAATGTAAAAACAAATAGCAAAAGTTTTTACAAATATATAAAATGGGAAAGAGTGGATAAGGTAAACATTGATCCTTTTGAGGACGAGAAGGCGAATTTAATAATGGGAAATAAAGAAATGACCAAGGCAACGAGCAGGTATTATGTGTCAATCTTCACAGTGAAAGACGCAAATAACATGCCAATAACTGATGACAAGGAGGCTCTGCCAGGTGAGTACCTAGAAACGATCTTTATCACTAAAGAGGTAGCATTCGGCAAGTTAATGGGGTTAAAGGTAGACAAGACCCCTGCCCCTGCTGGAATGTATCCCAGGGTTCTAAAAGAGATGGTGGGTGAAATAGCAAATGCACTCGTGGTAATTTTCCAAAATTTGCTGGACTCTGGGGCAGTTCCGGCAGGTTGGAAAACAGCAAATACAATGCCACTGTTTGAAAAAGGAGGTAGACAAAAGACTCGTAACATAGGCCCGTATGCTTAACTTCTATAGTGGGAAAAATACATGAATCTATCATCAAGGAAGAAATAGCAAGATAGAAATTGGATAGAAATTGTCCCATTGGGCAGAAGCAGCATGGGTTTATGAAACAAAAACAGAAGTTGCTGGAAAAGTTCAGCAGGTCTGGCAGCATCTGTGAAGAAAAAAAATCAGAATTAACGCTTCTGAGGAAGGGTCACCAGCTCCGAAACGTTAACTCTGATTTTTTTCTTCACAGATGCTGCCAGACCTGCTGAGCTTTTCCAGCAACTTGTTTTTGTTCCTGATTTACAGTATCTGCATTTCTTTCAGTTTTTATTTGGGTTTATGAAAGGCAGGTCATGTTTAACTAATTTACTGGAATTCTTTGAGGACATTATGAGCATGGTGGACAATGGGGAACCGGTGGATGTGATGTATCTGGATTTCCAGAAGGCGTTCGACAAGGTGCCACACAAAAGGCTATTGCATGAGATAAAGGTGCACGGTGTTACAGGCAATGTATTAGCATGGATAGAAGATTGGTTAACTAACAGAAAGCAAAGAGTGGGGATAAATGGGTGTTTTTCTGGTTGGCGATCAGTGGCTAGTGATGTGCTTCAGGGATGAGTGTTGTGACCACAATTGTTTACAATTTACACAGATGATTTGGAGTTGGGGACCAAGTATAGTATGTCAAAGTTTGCAGATGACCCTAAGATGGATTGTACGGCAAAGTGTGCAGAAGTCTGGAAGTCTGCAGGGGGATATAGGTTAAATGAGTGGGCAAGGGTCAGCAGATGGAGTACAATGTTGGTAAATGTGAGGTCTTCCATTTTGGTAGGGTTAACAGCAAAATGGACAGTTATTTAAATGGTGAAAAATTGCAGCATGCTGCTGTGCAATGGGACCTTGGTGTCCTTTTGTACGAATCACAAAAAGTTGGTTTGTAGGTGCAGCGGGGAATTAAGAAGGCAAATGGAATAATTTTCTTCATTGCGAGTGGGATGGAGGTCAAAAATAGGGAGGTTATGCTGCAGCTGTATAGTGTGCTGGTGAGGCCACACCTACAGAACTGTGTATAGTTTTGGTCTCCTTACTTGAGAAAGGATGTACTGGCACCGGAGGGGTGCAGAGTAGGTTCACTAGGTTGATTCTGGAGTTGACAGAGTTGGCTTATGAGGAGAAATTGAGCAGACCATGACTATACTCATTGGAATTTAGAAGAATTGGAGTGGGTCTTATAGAAACATGTAAAATTATGAAGGGAATAGATAAAATGGAAGCAGGGAGGTTGTTTCTAATGGTGGGTGAAACTAGGACTGGGGGCATTGCCTCAAAATAATGGGTAGTAGGTTTAGGACTGATATTAGGAGGAACCTCTTCACCCAAAGGGTTGTGAATCTATGGAATTCCCTGCCCAGTGAAGCAGTTGAGGCTACCTTGTTGAATGTTTTTATGGCAAAGATGGATAGATTTTTGAACAGTAAAGGAATTTGAGGTTATGGTGACTGGACAGGCAAGTGGAGCTGAGCCCACGAAAACGTTAGCCATGATCTTATTGAATAGCCAAGCAGGCTCGAGGGGCCAGATGTCCTACTCCTCCTCCTATTTCTTATATTCTTATGTTCTTATATATTCTGTGGAGTTTTGAAGAATGATAGGTGATCCAGTTTGACATTTATAGAATTCTAAGTTTGCCCCTGCTCATATTTCTTATAAGCCACCCTATTGCTTGCCTTTCAGGGTGAACTAAACCTTCCTCAGTGCTGGTAACAGTGCATGCTTCTCCTGTCTCACTTACGCTGAAGGTGGGGCTGGCAGCCTGAAATTGCAATCTGTTTCTCCCGTGAGCCAATAGGTCACTTCAGTTCCTCTTCCCTGAAACAGACAAGATATTAGTTATTCCCTTGTAGACCACATGTCTCATGGGCTAACAAGGTGTAGAGCTGGATGAACACAGCAGGCCAAGCAGCATCAGAGGAGCAGGAAGGCTGACTTTTAGGGCCTAGACCCTTCTTCAGAAATAGACCCTTCTCATGGGCTGATTGCTTTGCCAACTCCCAAATCAAACACTGGGACCTACTAATGTGTAGCCAAGTTCCCCAGCCTTTTCAGCAGTAGTTCAGCGGGTAGGACATTCATCTCTAAGTCAGGAGACTCGCCCTGGACTTGCACACAGTCTGGGCTGCCAATTAAGGAAACTTTGGACTGCTGCGAGTGCTCTTTTGGACAAGACATTAAACCAAAGCCCTTTCTTCCCTTTTGAGCAGATTCGACACCATTTTATTGAGGAGTGGAAGCATTCGTCTTGGCGTCCTGTCCAGTATTTTGCCTTTTATTTATTCCCCTGATAGGTCATTTACTTGAAACATTAACTTATCTCTTCATACCTCCTGGATATTTCCAGAGTTTTGTTTTTTTTTCAGATTTCCAGAATCTTCGGTATTTTGTTTTAATATTCCTCCCTCAAATAACATCTTAAACCATGATTTGGTTATTCTGAAATCTTGCTGCATATGAAATGGTTGCCAGGTTTTACACAATACAACAATGTTTTCACCTCAGAAGTTGAGGTTGAGAAAGGCACTACATAAATGCATGTTTTTCTTCCTATGTGATGAAGAGTAGAAACAGTGGAGGCACAGGAGCTGGTGAGCTTGTTATTCTCTCAGGAAGCTTACACAGTGTGAGACAGAATCCCTGGACCACAATAACCTCTCTATTGGAATGGGAGGCAGCCATTCAGCCCCTTGAACCTGTTCCATCATGGGCTAAGATCCATGGTATACCTGTACCTCAGCTCTAATCTGTTCATGCCCCTATCCTTTGTTACCAACACAAGACTATCAAACTCAGCTTTTAAAATTTCAAGTAGAAGAAGTATAATTAGATCAAATAGTCAGGATCACCTTCAGGTAGGTCTCTCCCCGCATCTCATATTCAAATTTACACTCTGTCCTCTTCAGTATATTGACTGTCGATTGGTTTACATGAATTCTTAATGCTGCAAAGAGAATATTCATTTCTTAATGCAGTTCAGATAAAAAGGCCTCTTGAATCATTCAAATGGAAATAGGGAGGAAACAGGATAATACACACTGCACCAGCATGGATAGAGGCTTAAATCCAGAGTGAGAGGTTGAGAGAGTCATTCTTGAACATGAGGATCAAATATTAGATGAGATGGGGCATATTCATTAGGCGTTCTGTTTAATCACAAAGTTAGTTCTGAAGGGAGCTTTACCTTTATCTAGCCATCACTTTACCTGTTCTGGAGAAGGGTCACTGGACCCAAAATCTTAACTCTGCTTTCTCCACAGATGCCAGACCTGCTGGGTTTTCCCAGCAATTTCTGATTTTGTTTCTGATTTCCAGCATCCATAGAATTTTTGATTCTCCATTACTTTCCTTGCCGTGGGGATATTTGAAGGGACACTGTTGTCACTCTGTATTGAAACTGACCTGTCCTGGGAATGTTTAATATGAGATTGTGGCAGGAGTTTTAGTCTGTACCTAACCTACATGACTACATGGAGTTGGTGGACTGGTCCATATTGAAGAATTCAGCGGCTACCCTAAATGAGTATGCCTCTACCATCACAAACTTCATCAGTAATCTGTAGAGGAATGCATGCCAAAGAAGTTACCTGAGTGTTCCCCAACCGGAAACCACGAATGAACCAGAAGATCCACTCCCTACTGAAGTCCAGGTTTGAAGTGCTCAAGTCAGGTGACCCTGACCTATACAGGAAATCTAGGTATGATCTTCGCAAAACCATCAGGGACACCAAGAGATAATATCAGACTAAACTAGAGTCTCTGACTAAACACACAAACACATGTTGACTGTGGCAAGGCTTACACGATATAATGGACAACGAAACAAAGTGGACTAGAATCACTTACAACAATGCATCCCTCTCCCAATAAGTTCAATGCATTCTTTGTTCGTTTTTAATAAAAGATAGTCAGTGAAATGATGTCACCTGCCCTGACAGCCTCAAGTGCACCTATACCCACAGTCACCGCCGCAGACGTCAGAACTGCCTATTTGAAAGTGAGCCCTTTAGAAGTGATTGCTTTGGATGGAGTCCCTGCCTGTGCACTCAGATCCTGAGCAGACTAGCTGGCGGGAGTACCCGCTGACAGCTTTAACCTTTCTTACTGCATTCTGAAGTCCCCACCTACTTCAAGAAGACCACTACCATTCTGGTGCTAAAGTAAAATTAGGCAACATGTCTTAATGACTACTGCCCTGTGGCTCTGACATCCATCAATATGAAATACTTTGAGAGGTTAGTAATGGTACACATCAGCTCCAGCTTCCTAGATTGCCTTGATCCACTACAATTTGCCTACAGCCACAAAAGGTCCAGTGCAGACACCATCTCCCAGGCCCTACAGTCATCCCTGGAAAAACTGCATAACAAAGACACCTATGTCAGACTTCTATTTATTGATTTTAGCTCTGTATTAAACACCATAATTCCAACAGAATTCATCTACAAACTCTGAGACCTAGGACTCTGCTCAACCGTCTACAACTGGATCCTCAACTTCCTGACCCACAGACTGCAATCAGTAAGGATAGGCGTCAACACCTCCTTCACAATAATCCTTAACACTTGTTCCCTGCAAGGCTATATACTCAGCCCCTTACCATACTCCTTATGTACTCATGTCCATGTGGCCAAATTCAGCCCTAACTCCATTCATAAATTTGCTGATGGCACCACCATAGTGGGTCAGATCTCAAACAATGACAAGAGACAGTACAGGAAGGAGATAGACAGCTTAGTGGCATAGTGTAAAGACAACAATCTCTTCCTCAATGTCTGCAAAATGAAGGAACTGGTATTCAATTTCACCAACAATCTATCCTAGTCCATTCATGCTGACTCTACAGTCAAGAAAGCACACCAACGTCTCTACTTCCTTAGAAGGCAAAAGAAATTCAGCATTTCCACAATGACCATAGAAAACATCCTATCTGGATGCATCACAACTTGGTATGGCAACTGCTCTGCCCAATACCGCAAGAAATTACAGAGAGTTGTGAACGTTGCACAGTCCATCACACAAACCAGCCTTCCTTCTGTTGACACCATCTACCTCCCACTGCCTCAGGAAAGCAGCCAACATAATCAAAGACCCCTCCCACCCTGGTTACACTCTCTCTCCACCCTCTTCCATTGGGCAGAAAGTACAAAAGTTTGAAAATATGTACCAACATATTCAAGAACAGCTTCTTCCCCATTGTTATCAGACTAATGAACAAACCTCTCATATATTAGAATTGATCTTTCTCTGCACTTTCTCTGCACATGCAACACTATATTCTGCATTCTGTTCTATTACCCTGATGTACTTATGTAAGGTATAATTTGCCTGGATAGCATGCAAAACAATACATTTTACTGTATCTTGGTACATGTCAATAATAAATCAAATTAAATTAAAATAACTGTACTAAACCGAGACACACAGAAAGACAGAGACAAACACAACAAGAAATATAGATGCACTTACAGAAGTGCATTTAGAGAGACAGAGTAAATTACAGAGACAGACATGAGTTGAGAGACATAGCAATTGAGAAGAATGGAGAAAGTCAAAGATTAAAAGGGAGTTAAGAGAGAAAAAGAAAAATAGAACAATAAAAAAGAGGAAAACAGACAGAAAAATAGAGCAAGACAAACAGGGACAGAGAGAAGGTACACAGTTCAGCTGGATTGAGAAAAATTGTCAGATTGAGATGGGGGGAATGTAGATTTTACGTAATCCTGTAGACTCCATTCGTGAGGCTGTGTTGACCACGTCACCAAACAGACAGTATCGTGGCATCTTGGTCCCTACCACACCGGCTGCACATGGACCTGTGACAAACAAAGCCATGATAAGAGGGAAGACAAAGAATTGTAGAAAGATTCAATGGAGTGGAAGATCATTCAGCCCATTGTGTCGGTGCTGGTACTTTGAATGAGCTATCCAATGAGTACCATTCTACTGTGTTGTGTAGTGTATTGGTTCTGAAAGGGTTGGAGACTGCATTAAATTTCACCCAATCTGATGATGTCACCCAGACATGGGTGAGGAAAGCAGGAGAATAGCTCTGGATCTTGATGGGGATAAATGTATCATCTCTGTCTCCCATTAGTCTTACAACAATATCTGACTATTTAATAGTAATTAATCTTATTGTATCTAATTGCTCTTATGTAATGAACTGCATGTTGTTCAGAACCTCTTCTCGTTAATACTCAATAGTGGTTCATTCTCTGCCGCAGGAAAACAAATACCTGGTACAGCGGCTCAGTGGTTAGCGGTGCAGCCTCACAACCGTAGGGACCCATGTTTAATTCCAGCCTGAGGCAACTGTCTGTGGGGAGTTTGTACATTCTCCCTGTGTCTGTGTGGGTTTCCTCTCACAGTCCAATGATGTGCAGGTTAGGTGAATTGGCCACACTAAATTATCCCCATAGTGTCTAGAAATGTGCAGGCTAGGTGGATTAGCCAGAGGAAATGCAAGGTTACAGGGATGGGGTAGGGAGGTGGGTCTGGGTGGGATGCTCTTCAGTGGGTTGGTGTGGACTAGATGGGCTGAATGGCCTGCACCCACACTGTAGGGATTCTATGACTTAGACCCAGACAGGGATAGCAGAATGGTGGCATCATCCTTCTAACCACAAATTTCACAAACTGATCTTTCCCATATCGCTCTGGAATTGTCTTCTTTCTCAAATATTTATCTACTCCCATGTTGAACTTGTTACAGCCACCCTTTTGGGCAGTGCAAAGCTCAGAGTATTATAACTTACCACATCATTAAAATAATCTTCATCTCATTCCTGCATCTTTTGGTAACTAAATTAGTGAACTTGGGCTACTAGCCACTAGGCGGAATAGTTTCTCCTGATTTACTTGCCCACGACAGAGCCTCTCTGTTGTGGTGAAAATACTCGAAGAAGTTGGGAATCCCAAGTCTCACCCCCGAAGCCAACATTTCCCGTTTCTGCAAAGGTGGGATTGGGGTGAACCATAATTCATGCATGATTGATTCCTTGAAGCGGCTGGCCATTCAAATAACCTTCTCCCTTCACTGAAATGGGATTTTGGAGTTCCTGGTGTCTAGAATCGAGAATCTGAAGTGTGGACATTACAGCAGCTAAGAGCAGAACTGTACACAGTGCTTTCTTTGGGATAGCCAAGCTACTCTTGGCGAGCAAAGATAGTCCTGCAGACATAGTCCCAGGATGCTTGGGGGTAGGGGGATTCAGGGATCCTTTGGGAGCGCGGGTTTCCTCCCACAGTCCAAAGATGTGCAGGTTAGGTGGATTGGCCACAGTAAATTGCCCATAGTGTCCAGGGATGTGCAGGCTAGGTGGATTAGCCAGAGGAAATGCAGGGTTGCAGGGATAGGGTAGCTGGGTGGGTCTGCGTGAGATGCCCTTCGGAGGGTTGGTGTGGACATGATGGGCCAAATGGCCTGCTTCCACACTGTAGGGATTCTATAATTTGGAAATGTGGGTATCAAGTGCCCTTTTTGACTATTAACTATGGGGAAGATTATGTGTAAAAGATGCATAAACCCCTTGAAACTGTCCAACTTGTCAAGACATATTAAGAAGTGTCAACAAGTGTCAAAACGTGTATTCATGAAGGACAGTGCTTTATCAATTGAGATGGGATATAGAAATTCAAATAATAGGACAATTTTTTTCTCCTTATGCAATACTCATTGGCATTGCAGGTGAAGGGGAAAAGGGTGGTGAGTGGAAGAAGGCACTAAGGCTATGAATCATAAATTCCCACAGCAGAGGAAGCAGGCCATTTGGCCCATCGAGTCCACACTAACCATTCGAACAGCACCCCACCCAGATCCACACCCCCAACCTATCCCTGTAACCCTGCATTTCCCATGGCTAATCCACTTTGTCTGCACATCTTTAGGCTGTGGGAGGAAACTGGAGTGCCCAGAGGAAATTCATGCAGACACAAGAAGAACGTGCAAACTCCACACAGGCAGTCGCACATGGCTGAAATTGAACCCAGGTCTCTGGCCATGTGAGATAGCAGTGCTAACCACTGAGCTACTGTGCCATCCAAAGGGCCATGGGGAATTGGTTCAGGTCATTGGGTTCCATGGGTTGGCATGATTGGGACTTCGGAAGTGTTTGTGGATGAGGGGGAATGAAGGGTTGGTGTCGGGTGAGGGTTAAAACAATATTTTATATTTCTGACCTTTTGGAGAGGTAAGCTGCCATTTTGAATCTGGTCCCAGGACACTTTTGGTGGAGGTAAGGAACCCTTTGGGTTTGTGAAATGGGTCGAAACTCATCAGACTTGTAAAGTTGTCATAAAACTGCCCAAAAGATGTGGAGTTAAGAAAAGAGTGCTGGTTATTCTAGAGTGCCTGCTAATACGAAACCATGACAGGATTTGTGCTGCATGAGCAATTTGCCAAACTATCATTTCACATTGGGATGACAGACGGCTCCAACGTCCTCAATGTGGACTCAACTTCCGGCCTCAAGATGAAATCTGGCGTGGTCTGGATTGGAAGGACTGTTATTCTGAACTTCTACTTCTCTATTTTTCTAATTTATTGCTGGACTTTTATGACTTTATTTTTCTAATTTTATTTCCCTAAGAATTTGTAATTAAGAATCTGTACCGAGGTACTTTTGTACCTAAGATGGCGCCGTAAGTGACGACTTGTAAACTTTTCACTGTTCTCATGTGAATACATGTGACAATAAAGCTAATTCTAAATTCTACTACTTATTGAACCAAAACATTTATTGACACAAGGGATTAAGCACTTAACTAAGATACATCAGATATTGAGTAAAATGTTTGTTTACGTAAGTCCTCGGCAGAGGGGACCTGTGGGGCATCTATAAGTGTATAGGTTGGCATAGATAGGGCATGAAGAGTGAAGGAGTGAGAGTTGGAGGGATATTTTCTGTTTTAATCTTTGTTTTTAAACTTTGAGCACTAGGCCGGACCTTCGGCTGTTCCTAGGTTATCTGGTCCAACTCCCAATCCAGCTTCCCACCCATCATGAACGAAAAATCAGAAGTACTGGCATCCATTTTTAAAGGGAGCTGGAATTTCTTAACCCAGGAATGAAAATCAGGGCTTCCAAACAACTCCATTAAATCTGCTTCTAACTATCTCTCTAAGTAAATTATACTAGTTTTTTGAGTCTTCCATGTTATTGAATTCCTTTATCCTTTGTTTCATTTTAATAAATATCCCAAATCACTGACAGAATCTAAAGAGGAGGTAGGAGTTTTGAGTTATAGGGGAGTTGAGGGCTATGTGGAGGAGTTGAAAGAGGAAGTTGAAGCCTGGGGCATTATTGAATGGTGGAGCAGGCTTGAGGGGCCAAATGGCCTACTTCTGCTCCTTTTTCTTATTTTCTTAGGTCCTTATATTCCTCTTGCCCTCGACAAGGCCTTGACATCTTTCTTTTCTATACTGGGATTCATATTGCCTTTAAAGATACTTCCTGACTCTACCAACTTGAGGCAGGTTTTGCCTATGCCCTTCCCTTTGACTATGTGGCTTTTGCCTTGTTACCTGAATGAATACCTATCCGAATCCAGATAGGCAGGTCAGGGAGGTGAGGAAGCTCAAATGACCCCATGAAATTTAAAATGTCCAGGGCCATCCGGGCGATGTCCACTGCGTGCCTGTTTCCATTCCGCCTTGGCAAACCAGATGCTACCATATAGGCATCCCCAATCGTTTCCACCTGGGTCAAACAAACAGACAGGGTCATTGTTCACTCTGTCACAAAAGAAGCTTGCATTTCAAGAACACCTTTCATCACTTCAGGATGTCTCAAAGCACCATGCATCTGATTAAGCATTTAATAGCACAGTTTTGTAGGTCTAAGGAGACCAGAACTGGGCACGGGTCTCCAAATGGGAGATAGTAGGAACTGCAGATGCTGGAGAATGTGAGACAACAAGGTGCAGAGCTGGATGAACACAGCAGGCCAAGCAGCATCATAGGAGCAGGAAGGCTGACGTTTCAGGCCTAGACCCTTCATCAGAAATGGGGGAGGGGAAGGGGGTTCTGAAATAAATAGGGAGAGAGTGGGAGGCAGATAGAGGATGGATAGAGGAGAGGATAGGTGAAGAGGAAACATACAGGTCAAAGAGGCGGGGAAGGAGCCAGTAAGGGTGAGTGTAGGTGGGGAGGTAGGGAGGAGATAGGTCAGTCCAGGGAGGACGGACAGGTCAAGGAGGCGGGAGGAGGTTAGTAGGTAGGAAATGGGGGTGCGCCTTGAGGTGGGAGGAGGGTATAGGTGGGAGGAAGAACAGGTTAGGGAGGCGGGGACGAGCTGGGCTGGTTTTGGGATGCGGTAGGGGGAGGGGAGATTTTGAAGCTTGTGAAATCCACATTGATACCATTGGGCTGCAGGGTTCCCAAGCAGAATATGAATTGCTGTTCCTGCAACCTTCGGGTGGCACCGTTGTGGCACTGCAGGAGGCCCAGGATGGACATGTCGTCTGAGGAATGGGAGGGGGAGTTGAAATGGTTCGCGACTGGGAGGTGCAGTTGTTTATTGCATACTGAGCGTAGGTGTTCTGCAAAGCGGTCCCCAAGCCTCCGCTTGGTTTCCCCGATGTAGAGGAGGCCACACCAGGTACAGCGGATGCAGTATACCACATTAGCAGATGTGCAGGTGAACATCTGCTTGATGTGGAAAGTCTTCTTGGGGCCTGGGATGGGGGTGAGGGAGGAGGTGTGGGGGCAGGTGTAGCACTTCCTGCGGTTGCAGGGAAAAGTGGTGGTGCTGGAGGGGAGTGTGGAGCGGACAAGGGAGTCACAGAGAGAGTGGTCCCTCCGGAATGCAGATAAGGGTGGGGAGGGAAAAATGTCTTTGGTGGTGGGGTCGGATTGCAGATGGCGGAAGTGTCGGAGGATGATGCGTTGGATCCGGAGGTTGGCGGGGTGGTATGTGAGGACGAGGGGGATTCTTTTTTGGTTGTTATTGCGGGGACGGGGTGTGAGGGATGAGTTGCTGGAAATGCGGGAGACACGGTGGAGGGCGTTCTCGACCACTGAGTGGGGGAAGTTGCGGTCCTTGAAAAACGAGGACATCTGAGATGTACGGGAGTGGAATGTCTCATCCTGGGAGCAGATGCTTCAAAATCTCCCCTCCCCCTACTGCATCCCAAAACCAGCCCAGCTCGTCCCCGCCTCCCTAACCTGTTCTTCCGCCCACCTATACCCTCCGCCCACCTCAAGCCGCACCCCCATTTCCTACCTACTAACCTCATCCCGCCCCCTCGATCTGTCCGTCCTCCCTGGACTGACCTATCTCCTCCCTACCTCCTCACCTACACTCATCTTTACTGGCTCCATCCCCGCCTCTTTGACCTGTCTGTTTCCTCTCCACCTATCCTCTCCTCTATCCATCTTCTATCTGCCTCCCCCTCTCTCCCTATTTCAGAACCCCCTTCCTCTCCCCCATTTCTGATGAAGGGTCTAGGCCTGAAATGTCAGCCTTCCTGCTCCTATGATGCTGCTTGGCCTGCTGTACTCCAAATGGGGTCTGAACAAGATTAGAATGATATTGGCCTCAGGGACAATGACTCAACTCTGCCACAATCAGAACCCCTCAAGTTCACAATGTGGCTCTTTCATACCTTATAGACATCGTGATTGTCCAGGATATGGTCAAAGTTCTTGTACATGTTATTTAACATGTCAACCACCTCCATGGGAGTGCTGAACTTACAGATGGTGGTGAACCCCACTATATCACTGAAGTAGATAGTCACTTCTTCAAAAAGCTCAGCCTTAACCTGACCCGTTGTCTTCAACGATATCACGACTGGCCTAAAATTAAAAGCAAAAGAGAAACGCTCACTTCCTGCTCCTTTAAAAGGTAGACTAACAACAATTTACATTTACATGGCATCTTTTACATAATAAAACCTCCCAGGGCACTTCACAGGAGAATTTTCAGCTAAAACTTTAAGGATATATTAGGTAATCAAACATGGTCACAGAAGTAAATTGTAAGAAGGGTCTGAATGAGAGGGGAGAGAGAGATGACCGAGGTGTTTGAGAGAATTGCAGACCTTAGGGGCATGTGCACTGAGGATGCAATCAACAAAGTTACAGCATTAAAGAAAAGGGATAATACCAGAAATGGAGCATTGCAGAGATCTCAGAGGATTGCAGGGTTGAAGAAGTTTACAGAGATAAGGAGAAAAGCCATTTGAACACTTTGAGCACATGTCTGTGATTTTTTCAATTAGCTAATATCAGTTAGGATCCAGGCAATGGAGGCTGAACCCAGGTTAACAGAGCTAGAAGGTGAAAAGCCAGGAAGAACAACATTGGAACAGTTTCAGCAGCAAGTGACTCAGATAGTGGATGGCTGAAATGAGCAAAGCAATTTTACTGTGCATAGCTTTCTCATAGAACCTGTGTGTGTGTGTGTGTGTGTGTGTGTGTGTACGTGTCTGTGTATATATTTACACGTGTTTGTGCGCACGTGTCTGTGTGTATGTTGTGTGTGTATATGCATATATGTATGTGTGCGTACATGTGTGTCTGAGTGTGCATGTGTGCGTGCGTCTGTGTGTGCGTATATGCCTATGTGTATGTATATGTGTATATGTGTGAATAGGAGTGTTTGTATATGTGCTATGTATGCATGTGTGTATGCCTGTATGTGTATGTGGTTGTGTGTGCATGTGCATTTGTGTCTGTGTGTGTGTGTGTATGCGTATGTGTGTGTTTGTATATATGTCTCTGTATGTATGTATGTGTGTGTATCTGTGTATGTATGTATGTATATGTTTGTATGTGTTTGTTGCGGGGTAGGGTTAGGGTTAGGGTTCAGAATGAAGATGATGTCTGCTCATGGCAAGAACACACCTGCACATTCTCCTAATTTGAGAAGCCTGGCTGATCAGAAAATTCTCTCCCTCTTCTCTTATCATCTACCACAGGCATATCTGAAAGACTTAAAGATTGAAAATCAACCTTTTTGGCTATGGTTGTGACTCACCTAATTTGGGAATTGAACCCAGAGCTTCTGACCTAGAGGTAGGGACATTATCCACTGCACACTGCATCCTGAACCTGAGTACACAATGTCTTCACTGGAGGCAGGGGTGGCCTCAAAGAGTCTCAGGTGTAGGTCTGGATTTTTCGATAAAGAGACCTGATCTCATATTTGCCGTCATTAATAAGGTATGAATTAGGAGGAGAAGGAAACCATTAAGCCCTTCTAGCCTGATCTGTTTGTGCTTCAAATTCCACATTCCTACTTCCTCCCATAATCGCCGATTCCTTTGTCCAATAAGAATCTATCTACCTTCACTTTAACAATATTCAATGATCTCCACCTCCACCATCATCTGAGCAATGCCTCAGGTGCTAGGTAGGGTTGTCAACTATAGTTAGGCATATTCCTGGAGGTGTGATCACATGACTCCTGCCTCCAAACATCCCTTCCCTATTCTTGCTTCCATTGTTCACCTGACAAACCCTTCCTTATTTTTACTTTCCAATGGGATACATTTTCTTGGGATGTCTTGAACATAGTTTTGTATGTTTTCCATACATATTCCAGGACATAGTTCACCAATATTGAAATACTTGAAAAGAAATAGAATTTCAGGCATATCAGAAAGAGCACGGGGTGGCGGGGTGCGGGGATTAATTACAAAGTTCTGGCGATGGTCACAGGCACAACGGCACTGGATGGAATAAAACTTGTACAAACTGATACACAGCAAGACAGAAGTTGGGCAGATAGATGTATAGATATTTTTAATCAATCTTTTCAGACCACTTTTTGACACACCTCGGGAGCAGGTAGGAGTAGAACCCAGACCTTCTTGGCCCAGAAGCAGGCAAACTAACATTGTGCCACAAGACTCTTAAATAGATAACTCCCAAGGCAGGAACCAAACACTCAGCAAACAAGCTAAAAATCAAACCAGTAACACTGCAAACCCTACATTTTCACCGCTATGCTATCATCTTGAATGCCAGGCAAATTTATAAGCAGATATATCTGCTAATAGTAAGTTAATTGTATTATCAAGATTAATGAAATACAGGTAAAAAGCACTGAAAGATTAAGCACATATAAAGAGCTACTGGGTTAGTTGGTAGGTGAGGCAGACAATGCTGCGTTCTGCAAATAAATCAGAACAGGATTAGCATCCGGTTTCACTCAAATTCGACTGGATCTACTTAACGATATTAACAAGTTTGACAATCACACTTTAAGATAGATAATGAAGACAAGGAGATTCAAGGACAGTGAAGTAGCTAGGATAAGTGTAGTCAGACAAATTATATGGTGGTAAAGATAACCATGATGCAAAAATCAATAAAGACTGATCTGGCTCACTTAGGCAATAGCATGTAGTTGAGCTGATCTGCTCTGTCACGCTCAGCCTTGTACAGGGCTGTTCTCTCCTCTACCAGGTGCTCCAAGTTCTTCGAGTACATCTGAAGTCGGCGGATCAGTGTGTCCATGTAGCTCTTGTCAGTTTCACTGTGGAATGCGCTGTAAAAGATTCAATGGAAATCTGACTACAGGTTCCTTCATGGACCTCAGAGACAATTCCCACATCCTATGTTATGCTGTGTCATTGGTGTACTTGTCTAAAATTCTACCCACCATGTACAACACTTGGCTGAAGGGTGGGATGTGCCCTGAGATAGACACATTATAGATTTCATCGACCAAAGGGAGATAGATCTTAAAGGCCGAGACGTTTGGAGGGAATTCTCGAGTTTAGGGTCTAGGCAGTTGAAGACATGGATACCAATGGTGCAGTGATGAAAGTTGGGAATGCGTAAGAGGTTAGAATTGGAGAGTTCAGGCATCTTGAGGGATTGTAGGGCTGGAGGAATCTACAGTGACAAAGACATGGTGCCATGGAGAGATTTGAAAAGGAAAAGAAGATTTGAAAACAAAATACAGAGTGAGGGGTGTCTGGGACTTGGCACAAGTTAGGATATGGGTAGCAGAGTTTTGGATGAGTTCATATTTAGGAAAATTCTGAAGAGGAGTCATTTCAGATTTCAAAAGTTTACTCTGACTCTGTCTCCACAGATGCTGTCAGATCTACTGAGTTTCTCCAGCACTCTCTGTTTTTATTTCAGATCTCCAGCACGCATGGTTTTTGCTTTCATTCAAGTTTAGGAAAGGGGTGACAGAAGTCTGACCGGGAATGTCAGAGCTAAGTGTCTTTAGACTTAAACTTCCTGTGTCTAATGATGTATGGAACAGACAAAGCATGTGTTTACGGAAGACATTGTCTAATTCTGCATGTCAGATAAACAGTATGATATTTAAGAGACAGTGGAGGGTGGTGAGAGGTGATAATGACATCAATCACCAGTGTACATGTAGAACCCAACCTTACTTTTTGGATGGTGTCATTGAGGAGAAACATGGATCAGAAATGGGGAATAAGGGTGAGGATAGATCCTGGGGAGGCACAGGAGTGAGGAGAGAAGCCAGTCGATGTGATTCTGTCACTCTGACTGGCCAGGTAAGAATAGAATCAGGTACCCAAGTGGCTGCCAGAGAAATTGGAGGAGGGTTGTGGTGAAGGTTGCCGACAGGCTTAGGAGGCCAAGGAGGGAAAGGTTTATCATGATCACAATCACATAGAATGTCATGTCACAGAAAGGGGCAGGGCTGGGTGGCAGAATGGGGAATGTGGGGAGAGATCTTTATAAGATAGTGATCAGGGATTTCCTAACCAAGCAGCTCAAGAACTTCAATGTTTCACATCCTGTTCAACGATCAAGCAAGCCAACCTTCCAACTATTGACTCCACTGATACTTCTCGCTGCCTTGGGAAGGCAGCTGATGTAATCAAATACCCCTGCCACCCTGGTTATACCTCTTTTCCAACCCCTTCCGTCAGACAGAAGATACAAGAGATTTTACACATGTACCAACAGATTCAAGAACAGCTTCTTCCCCACTGTTACTAGATTTCTGAATGGACCTCTCAAAGTTTAAATTTAATGTTGATCTTGCTCTTTGGGCACCTTCCCTGCAGCCATAACACTGTATTCCTCACTCTGTTCTATACCCTAATGCACTTTGTACGGTATGATGTGCCTGTACTGCATGCAAAACAAAACTTTTTGCTGCACCTAGGCACATGTGACAATAATAAATGAAATTTTAAAAATCCAACTGTCCTTATCTTTCAAACTCTTTGCTGTTCTCAACATTATCTGCCAGTTTATTATAAAGGCTAGTGGAAATCTGGAATCCTTTCACCTGTAAGAGCTGTTGAGGCTGTGGAGGGAGTGGAAGTGTGGGAGTGAGGATGGGGGAGGAATTGAAAACTTCAAAGTACTTGCTAAATAAACAAATAGACAGAGTTGGGAGGATGTACAATGGAGATTAGAAAGATGGCAGGGAAGCTAAATTATTACTCTGTGTCTGCCTTCACTGAGGAAACTACAAAATATCTTGCAGAACTAGAGATCGAACAAATGAAGGAGAATGAGGAATTGATGGAAATTAGAATTAATAAGAGGGTTGTGTTGGAGAAATTATAATATAACTAAAAGATGACAAGTCCCTGGGACCTGTAGCTATGGAGGTAAAGGATGCATTGGTGTTCATCTTCGAAAATTCCATAGATTCAAGATGCCTTCAGATTGGAAGGTAGCAAAGGTTACCTCAGTATGTAAGAAGGGAGGGACAGAGAAAATGGGGAACTACTGACGTGTTAGCCTAGTTGTAGTGAAAATGATAGAATCAATTGTAAAGGAATTGATAACTGTTGGATAATAATCTGATTGGCCATAGTCAGGATGGATTTGCAAATGGGAAATCACGTGTGACAAAACTGTTGGAGTTATTTTTGAGGGTGTTACTAGCAGAATTGACAAAATGGGATGTAGTTTGTTTTCATTTTCAGAAGGTTTTTAATAAACTATGCCACAGATGGTGTGTTAGCAAGATAAAAGTATATGGGACAGGATGTAATATAGTGTCATGGATTAAGGATTGGCTAAAGGTAGAAAACAGACAATAGGAATTACCAGATCTCTCTTGCATCGGCAGACTGTGAATGGTGGCGTGCCACATAAATAGGCCTAGCTATTCACAATTTATATCAATGATTTGAATTTGGGGACCAGTTTAGTATTTCCCTGTTTGCAGATGACACAAAGTCAGGTGGATGATGCAAAGGGGCCTTCAAGGGGATTTGTACAGACTTAGTAGGTAGGCAAGAACACAGCAAATAGAATATGATGTAGAAAATGTGACATTATCCACGTTGGTAGGAGGAATAGATGTGCAGATGGTTTTTTAAATGGTAAAAGATTAGAAAGTGGAGATGTACAATAGGACCTGGGTGTTCTCATCAATAAGTCACTAAAGATAACATGCAGATGCAGCAAGCAATAAGGACGGCCCCTTAGCCTTTATTGCATGAGGTTCTGAATATCGTTCTTGTTCCCGGGATGGCAGGAATGTTTTTTGAAAAGAGATGGGGAAACTGTGCCTGTATTCTCTAAGGTTTTGAAGAATGAGAGGGGAAGTGATTGAAAATATTTAAAGGATTGAAGCATGCTTTCCCCTGGATACAGAGTGTAAAATCAATTTTAAAAAAAAGAGGACTTATTCTACAGCAGAGAATAGCTTTTAATCAGAGAGTTGTAAATCTTTGGAATTCCTTACCCCAGAGGGCTCAGTAATTTCAGTTACTCATTATATTTAAAGTAGAGATTGACATATTTCTAAACATTGGTGACGTAAACAGATATGGAATGGTGTGGGAAAATGGCATTGAAGCTGCTAATGAGCCATAATCATACTGAATGACAGAGCAGGCTAAACACGCTGATTGACTTACTCCTGTGTTCCTATAAGGATATTAAGGGTTATGAAATGAAAGCAGGTGAATTTATTCGTTCATGGGGTGCATGTTGTAAATCCCTAATTATGCTGGAGGAGACAAGGATGAGATGTCGCCTTGAACTGGTGAAGTCCTTGGGATGTAGGGACATTTGCAATGCTGTTAGGAAGGGAGATCCAGGATGTTGAACCAGTGACAGTGAAGGAATGGCGATATAGTTGCAATTCAGGATAGTACGCAGCTTGGAGGGGAACCTGGAGTGGTGGTGTTCCTGTGCACCTGCTGCTCTTGTCCTACTGGGTGGTAGAGGTCATAGGTTTAGAAGGTGCTGTCAAAGGAGTCTTGCTGAGTTAGTACAGTCCTTCTTGTAGATAGTACACACTGCCACCTCTGTGCATTGATGGTGAAAAGAATGAATATTGAAGATAGTGAATGGCATGCCAATCAGGTGAGATATTTTGTCCTGGATGGTGTCAAGCTTCTTGAGTTTTGTTGGAGCTGCACTCATCCAGGCAAGTATTCCATTGTATTCCTGACTTGTGCCTTGTAGATGGTGAACAGGTCCTAGGAGACAGGAGGTGAGTTACTTGCTACAGAATTCATAGATTTTAAGCTGCTCTTAAAGCCACAGTAATCATATGATTGGACCAGTTCAGTTTTTGATCAATGGTAACCCTCCACGATGTTGGTAGTGGGGCATCCAACAATAGTAATGCAATTGAATGTCAGAGAGTGATGGTTAGATTCTCTTGTTGGATATGGTCATTGCCTAGCATTTCTGTGGCACAAATGTTACCTGTCACTTATCAGCACAAGCCCAGGTGTTTTCCAGCATATGGAAATGGACTGTTTCAGTTGTCTGAGGAATTACAAATGATGCTGAACATAGTGCAATCATCAGAAAACAATCCCTACTTCTGACCTTATGATGAAGGGAAGCAGCTGAAGATGGTTGGGGCTAGAAGATTACCCTGAGGAGTTGTCACAAAGATGTCTGGGATTGAGGTGATTCATCTCCAACAACAAATATCTTCCTTTGTGCTAAGAAAGACTTTAATCAGTGGACAGTCTTTTCCCAGTCTAGTTTTGTTAGGGCTCCTTGATGTCACACTCATTCAAATACTGCCTTGATATCAAGGACAATCAGTTTCATCTCACCTCTGGAATTCAGCTCTTTTGTATAAATTTGGACTAAGGCTGTAATGAGGTCAGGAGCCAAGTAGCCCTGACACAGCCCAACAAAAGCATCTGCCTTTGCAGATTGTATCTTTAAGTGTCCCTTAACAACACTGTCAATGACCTCTACCATCACTTCGCCGATGAATAAAGAGTTGACTTGTTGTCCAGGTTGTTTTTTTCCCTCGCTCTTTGTATGATCTTATCGACATTTATAAAATCATGAGGGGCATGGACAGGGCGAATAACCAAGGTCTTTTTCCCAAGGTAGGGGAGTCCAAAACTAGAGGGCATAGGTTTAAGGTGAGAGGGGAAAGACGTGAAAAATCTAAGGGGCAACTTTTTCATGCAGAGGGTGGTGCATGTATTGAATAAGCTGCCACAGGAAGTAATGGAGTTGGGTACAATAACTACATTTAAAAGGCATCTGGATGGGTACATGAATAGGAAGGGTTTAGAAAAACATGGGCCAAATGTTGGCAAATTAGACTAGATTAATTTAGGATATCTGATCAGCATGGATGAGTTGGACTGAAGGGTCTGTTTCTGTGCTGCACAATTCTATGATTCTATGGCAGGACACATTAATTTTCCACATTGTCACGTAGATGCTAGATGTTACAACTGAATTGGAACAACTTGCTTAATGGCACAGCTAGTTCCAGAGCACAAGCCTCCAATAGTCATGCTGGGATGTTGTCAGAGTCTGTAACCTATAAAGTATTCAATGTTGTCATCTGCTTCTTGATATCATGTGGAGTGAATTAAACTGGCTGAAGACTGGTGTCTGTGATATTGAGAATCTCTGGAGGAGGCTGCGATGGGTCATCCACTTAGCATGCCTGCCTGAAGATGGATGCAAATATTTATTAATTGAGTTAAGATGCTGGTTAGCCATAATCTAATTGAAAGGTACAAGTGGCATGGGGTGGGGTGGTGCTGAACAGACTGTTCCTTTTCCTAGGTTACAATTTTTCTATGTAAATCGAAATTGGAAAATTATCTTATACAGGATTGTGCGTCTTTGCAACACTATGAAGACCATTCTTACGTGTTCCCTGTGTGGGACGTACAGTTTATATGTAGTTATGTACAGAATTCACCCCATCTGTACTAACCTGAATATCTTGCCCAGCAAGGCCTCAATTCTCTTGCAATCTGGTCGTTTTTCTGAATCTTCTTCCCAGCAATTTTTGATCAGCCCATACACCTGGATCCAGAAAGTCACATGGACAATCAGACTGAGACACAGAGGGTGATCAGACTGATACATAGAGTGAATCTAACAGGGGCTCGAGGCTCAACCAGACAAGGGCACGTGGGTTAATCAAACTGAAACACCAGGGCATGGGGGTTAATTAGACCTGGAACTGAACGGGCAGATGGCAAACTAGAAATGATCTAAAGAATTAAGAGTTTAATCTGCTTTGGAACCAGAGGGACACAGGATTAATCAGATTTGTTCTGAATACAGTTACCTCTAGTTCTTTGTCGTTAGATGTTTCCAGGGGAAGGTCAGGTCGAAACAGCTCACTCCCATTTGCTAACATTACTCTCTTTAACTTCTCTAGAGAAAAAGGGAAGAAACATTCCATTTAACAAGAGGAACGGGGTCAACAATTGACAGTATCAGTAAAAACATTATTCCAATGGTTTTAAGTTGTGACATTTGAAGAAACAGATGGGAATTAGGAATTCTCAGAGTCTCTGACAGACAACGGATAAAGGATCATGGAGAATAGACTGGCAAGTGGGGTTGAGACCACAAATAGATTAGCCATGGTCTTACTGAATAGTGGAATATACAAACAAAGCCCTTTGAGCACGTTCCGCCATTTAATAAGATTGTGACTAATTTGATCATGTTATAAAATCCAAATTCCCACCAAGCCTGATAACCCTTCACATCATTTCCTTGATGACCAATAATCTATCTACCTTTGCCTTCCGCCTGGATTGCTATCAAGGACTAGTTTTGGATTGTGCTTTGTCTGACAAACTCACCATCTGTAAGGCATGAGGTAGAAGTGTGATGGAATACTTCCCACTTGTCTGGATGTGTGCAATTCCAACAACACTTAGCTTAACATGATTCGGAACAAAGTAGGCTACGTGATTGGCACCACACATGCATAAACATTCACTCCCTCCACCATTTGATGCTCAGTAGCAGCTATGCATACCAACTACAAGATAAACTGCAGAAATTTATCAAGGGTCCTAAGTTAACACCTTCCAAACCCATTATCACTACTATGTAGAAGGACAAGGGCAGCAGATACATGGAACATCACTAGCTGCAATTTTCAGTCTGAGTTATTCTGAACTTTTTATTTCTTTATTTTTCTAATTTATTCCTATAATCTGTAATTCTGTACTTCTTTTTTCTTTATTTTTCTTTTTTTCCCTAAGAATTTATACTTAAGAATCTGTGCCTCGGCACCTTTGTATCTAAATGGTGTCTTAAGTGGCAACTTGTAAACTCTTCATTGCACTCATTTGAGTACATGTAACAATAAAGCTCATTCTAATTGTAATGTAGTTATTTATTTGGTTTATTCATTGTCACATGTATCTTGTTACAAAATACACTGAAAACTGTTGTATAGTATGGCCATTCTCCAGCACCACCTTAAAACACTGAAAATTAAACCTAAACATAATTTAAAGGCAGAAAAATGAAGAAACAAAGAAAGTTTGCCGTTCCTTCACTGCCACTAGATCAAAATTGTAGAACTCTTACTCTAACAGCATGCTGTGGGTCTGCCTACACCAAATAGACTGCAGCAGATCAAGGAGGGGGATGGGGCAATAAATTCTGGCTCAGTCATCGACACTCACATTCCATGAATCATAAATGAGTAAAAAAAAGTACTTGGAGGGAGATATTTGCTAGGCTATGGGGGGAGGGCAGGGGGAGTGGAACTAATTGAATAGCTTTTTTAAAGAGTCAGCATAGGAATTGATGGGTCAAATGGTCTCGCTATATCCTATATCATTCTCTGATTCATTACCATCAGCAACCTGCAATGGGTGGAACAACAATAAAACTTGAAGGACCAGAGTACTACACACTCTCTTTCGTTATACAGAGTCAGATTAAGCAGAAAAGGTACATCTTTCAAATGTCAGGTTGCTCATACAGTGAGTACCAGGTGAATGAAGGAAGGTCAGAGGCGGAATTAAAAACATGAAAAGGGGGAGTTTGAGAAAATACTGACTGCGGCATAAAAGGGAATTCAAAAGTTTTCTACATATCTATAAAAATCAAAATGATAGGAGAAGGAAGAGTGGAACTAATGAGAGACTAAAACAAAGATTTATACCTGGGGGCAGAAGACTTGGCTGAAATATTAAATTCATTTGCACTGGTTTTTTTTAACCAGCAGAAGAAGATATTGTGTCATTGTTAAAGATAAGACATTTGAGATCATGGATGGGTTAAAAATTTATGAAGAAAATGTATCAGAAAGGCTGGTTACTGAGGATACAGATGGAAGTATGGATAGAAATTGGGGAGATGTTGGTTCTGATTTTCCAATCCTTCTTAGGTACTGGGATAGTGCCAGAGGACTGGAGAATTGCAAATGTTACGCTTTGCTAAAAATAAAGTGTAATGATAAGGCTAGTGACTAGAAGTGAGTTAGTTTTTCCAAGCAGTAGAAAAGCTTTTAGAAACGGCAATCTTTAATACGTATTTTGGAAAAATCTTGATTATGTAAGGCTCCCATTGGCAGAACAGCCCAGTAGGCAGCACAGTGACTCAGTGGTTAGTACTGTTGTCTCACAGTGCCAGCGGCCTGGGTTTGAATCCAACCTTGGGTGACTGTCTGTGTGGAGGTTGCATGTTCTCCCTGTGTATGTGTGGGCTTCCTTTGGGTGCTCCGGTTTCCGCCCATAGTTCAAAGATGTGCCGGTTAGGTGGATTGGCCATGATGAATTGTCATCGTAGCGTCCAAGGATGTGTTGGTTAGCCTGGGAAATGTAGGCTTACAGGGATAGAGTATGGGAGTAGGTCTTGGTGGGATGGTCTTTGAAGAGTCGGTAGCGACTTGATGGGCCAAATGGCCTGCATCCACACTGTAGGGATTCTATGATTCTTTTCTGATCCTAGTGGGCACCAATTTAAGGTGAACGGCAATGATCCAGAATACACTGCCTGAGAGTGTAGATTCAGTCATGGTTTTGAAAAGGGAATTGGATATACACCTGAAGCAAAACAATTTGCTCGGCTGTAGGGCTAAAGGCATGACTAAATGAATTGCTCTTGCAGAGAGCTGGCACAGACATGTGGGCTGAATAGTCTCCAACTGTGTGATTGCATGATTCAAGACAAAGATTGCTAGAATCAAGGGGTGAGTGATTAGGCTGCACATACCTATGGGTGTGCAGCAACCCAGATCGTGCTCACAAACTGTCCCTTTTAAGATATCCTATGTGCTCAAATATATAAAGATAAAGCTGCTGCACATAACAAATAAAATTTAAACCTGACATTGGGCAGTGAGAATGAGACAGGGAAATGGAGTTTATGCAGCAGATCAACCATGGATGATGGAGCAGGCTTAAGAGGCCACATGGTGACACCTACTTATGTTCTTCTCAACAGACATAACCAGCAGCTTTAATTGCTCTGCATTTCTAATTTAATAGTTATAGCAGACTGCATCTCCATTGGAATGGTAGTATTTACCTTAAAGGTACAAAAGGAATTTCCTCACCAAAAGTAATCTCAAAGTACTTTACAACCAATGAAATATTTTTTGAAATGCAACTTGATAGAATTCTTTGAGGAAGTGATAAAGTTGATAGATGAGGGAAGGGCTGTAGATGTCATATACATGGACTTCAGTAAGGCGTTTGATAAGGTTCCCCATGGTAGGCTGATGGAGAAAGTGAAGTCGCATGGGGTCCAGGGTGTACTAGCTAGATGGATAGAGAACTGGCTGGGCAACAGGAGACAGACAGTTGTAGTGGAAGGGTGTTTCTCAAAATGGAGAACTGTGACCAGTGGTGTTCCACAGGGATCCATGTTGGGACCACTGTTGTTTGTGATATACATAAATGATCTGGAGGAAGGTATAGATGGTCTGATTAGCAAGTTTGTAGATGACACTAAGATTGGTGGAGTAGCACATAGTGAAGGGGACTGTTGGAGAATGCAGCAGAACATAGATAGATTGGAGAGTTGGGTGGACACATGGAGTTCAATCCAGGCAAATGCGAGGTGGAAGATCCAATTCAAGAGCGAACTATACAGTAAATGGAAAAGCCCTGGGGAAAATTGATGCATAGAGAGATCTAGGTGTTCAGGTCCATTGTACCCTGAAGGTGGCAAAGCAGGTCGGTAGAGTGGTCAAGAAGGCATACGGCATGCTTTCATTCATCAGACGAGGTATTGAGTACAAGAGTTGGCAGGTCATGTTACAGTTGTATAGGACTTTGGTTCGACCACATTTGGAATACTGCGTACAGTTCTGATCGTCACATTACCAAAAGGATGTGGATGCTTTGGAGAGGGTGCAGAGGAGGTTCACCAGGATGTTGCCTGGTATGGAGGGCGCTAGCTATGAAGAGAAGTTGAGTAGATTAGGATTATTTACATTAGAAAGACGGAGGTTGAGGGGGGACCTGATTGAGGTCTACAAAATCATGAGAGGTATAGACAGGGTGGATAGCAAGAAGCTTTTTCCCAGAGTGGGGGACTCAATTATGGAGGGGTCACGATTTCAAAGTGAGAGGGGAAAAGTTTAAGGGAGATATGCGTGGAAAGTTCTTTACGCAGAGGGTGGTGGGTGCCTGGAACGCGTTGCCAGCGGAGGTGGTAGAGGCGGGCACGATAGCATCATTTAAGATGTATCTAGACAGACACATGAATGGGCAGGGAGCAGAGAAATACAGATCCTTGGAAAATAGGCGACAGGTTTAGATAGAGGATCTGGATCGGCGCGGGCTTGGAGGGCCGAAGGGCCTGTTCCTGTGCTGTAATTTTCTTTGTTCTTTGTTCTTTGTTCAATTTGCACACAGCAGGCTAAAACAAACATCACTACAATAACAATGAGACAATGTGTTTTTATTGATACAAAATGTTGGTTGAGGGGAAATATCCAGGACATTCAGACAACTCCTAACTTTTTCAAACTAGCACTATATCATCTGAGAGGTCAGCTAGGGCCTTGATTTAATATCTCATAAAAAGATTAGATCAGAAGTCAGACAACACCGAGTTATAGTCCAACAGATTTATTTGAAATCACAAGCTTTCGGAGCATTGCCCCTTCACCTGATGAACAGGCAATGCTCTGAAAGCTGTGATTTCAAATAAACCTGTTTGACTCTAACCTAATGTCATCTGACTTTTGGCTTTGTCCACCCCAGTCCTACCCGGCACCTCCACATCATCATAAAAAGATGACACCTTAAGCAGTGCAGCAATCTCTCGTTACTATACTGGAGAGTTAATTTGGATTTTGTGCTCAAAGTTATAAATCCCGGGACTAACAATCATCCTATTTAACAGTAACATTCCACAATGAAGTTTGCATAATAGTCTTGCTGGAAATCTGGAAAGCAGGAAGTATCAAATGTACAGGCTAAAATAACAAAATCAACTTATTTGCATGAATAATTTAAAGAAACTATGGGACATAAAGGATTATAACACTAAAACACAATCCTGCAATAATCCAGAATGGATTAAGAGGTCCTTAAATTTTGAGTGGGCCTTGCTTAAAATTGAACAAGTTGCACATCAACATGGCTTTCAGCCAATTAGATCTCCTTTTGTGGAAGTTCTGCAACTTAAAATTTTGATTTGGCAAAGTTAGCTGGCAGCAATAATCATTGAGCGATTCTTCTTGAAATCACAGAAATGAAGCATCCAACTTCAGCAGGTAAGAGAGATGTTAAATGGCCTGGTGATCTTTGTTTCAAAGGGAATGGGATATAAAAATAGGCGGGTCTTGCTGAAATAATACATGGTACAAGACAGACCACACCTGGAATACTGTGAACTGTTTTAGTCTCCTTACCAAAGGAAATATATCCTGACATTGGAAGCAACTCTTAGAAGGTTCACTAGGTTAATTTTGGGTATGAAAGATTTCTTAAGAGGTGAGGTTGAGTTGGTTGGGCTCATACACAATGGAGTTTAGAAGAATGAGAGGAGATCTTATTGAAAAATACAATCCTTCAATCAACATCAGAAAATTAATATGTCTGGTCACTATCACATTGCTGTTTTTGGCAGCGGAGAGGAAAAAGATTTAAAAGGGACCTGAGGGGCACCTTTTTCACACAGAGGGTGGCTCGTATGTGGAATGAACTGCCTGGGAAAGTGGTAGATGCAGATACAGTTACAACATTTTAAAGACATCTGGACAGTAACATGAATTGATAAGGTTTAGAGGGATATGGGCCAAATACAGGCAAGTAGCACGAGTTCAGTTTGGGTAACTTGGTCAGCATGGACGAAGTTTGATCGAAGGGTCTGTTTCCGTGTTGTATGACTCTATGACTCTGTATCCTCAGGGAGCTAGACAGGGTAAATACGGAAGGGCTGTGTCCCCTTGTGGAAGAGTCTAGGGTCAGAAGTTATAATTTCAGAGTAAGGATTTGTGCATTTAAGAAACAGATGAGGAACTTTTTTTTTGCTCAGAAGGTAATGAATCTATGGAATTCTTTACATTAAAGGGCTAGCGAAACAGGGTAGTTAAGTGCATCCAAGTCTGAGATAGATTTTTAATTAGTAAGGGAATAATAGGTTATGGAGAAAAGCCAGGAAAGTGGAGTTGGAGGTTATCAGGTCAGCAATAATCTTGTTGAAAGGCAGAGCAGGCTCAATGGGCCAAACAGATTATTTATGCTTCTATGTCTTATAGTTTTATAGTCTTAAGCTTCAAAAATGATGGGAGGGTAATTGGAAAATAGTTATTTTGTTGTCTATTGGTCCCACTGTGTTGAGTAGGGAGAAATAGAGCAACATTGTTAAGATATCTTGGTCACAGAACTATCAATATACCCCTGGACTTTCAATAACAGCCCTAATTAGTTGAATAGTAACAGCATCCATTACCTGCAATATCGCTGCACGATTGAGTATAGAAGGTCTCTCTTCGATAGATGATTTCCTGACCTATAATGCCAAAACTGTACGTGTCACCTTTCTGAGATACTCCCTCCTGTCGCAGGTGCTCAGGAGCTGTCCACAGGTCTAGGTGGTGAGGTGGAAAAGAAAAAGAGGTAGTTAAATACACTGAACATTTTGCAGAGACAAGTAGAGACATTTGAAGAAAAGAACTTAAAACTACACCTCAGATTTCACACATTCGAGGCATCCCAAGGTGCTTTACAGTTAATGAAGTGCTTTGTGATGTACAGCAGCTATTTCACACATAGTAAGCTCCCACAACCAGCAATGAGATAAAGACCAGACCACTTGTTTTGACTAAATAAAAACCAAAGAACTGTAGATCCTGGAAATCAGAAAGTAAAACAGAAATTGCTGGAAAAATTTAACAAGTCTGGCAGCACCTGTGGAGAGAAATCAGAGTAAACATTTCAGGTTTGATGGCCTTTCTTCAGAACTGACGGTAGCTAGGAAAAGGTTGGCATTTATACAGAAGATGGGGTGGGGGAGGGGGGAAGAGTAAACAATAGGTGGAGATAGAGGCCAAAGAGAGAGAAAAACTGCTGGACAGACAAAGTGGGAATAGGTCAGTCTAGGGGAATGAATCTGTGGAAACAAATCAGACTTAACGTGTCAGATCCAGTTCTGAAGAAGGGTCACGAGATCCAAAAAGTTCTCTGATTTTTCTCCACAGATGCTGCCAGACCTGCTGAGTTTTCCCAGTAATTTCAGATTTTGTTCCCAAGACAGAGATTTTGGCCAGGGAACATGGTGGTGTTTTGAAATGGCAGGCAATTGGAGGCTCTCAGTCATTTTTATGGACAGAATGTAGGTGTTCTGTGAGTCAGTCACCCCAGTCTACACTTCGTTTCCCCACTGAGGAGGAGACCACATTGTGAACAGGAATGCAGTAGACTAGATTCTGGGAAGTGCAAATAAAGCTGGAAGGTGTATTTGGGCACTTGGATACTGAGGAAGGAGGAAGTAAACAGGTAGGTATTACCTTCTGCGGTTGCAGGAGAAGGTGCCGTGAGGCTGTGGGGGCATGTTCGGAGTGAAAGAACAGTGGAATAAAGGGGACAATCCTTGTGGAAGGCTGACAAGGGAGGGGAGGGGAATATGTGTCAGGTGGTTGCATCCTGCTGGAGGTGGCAGAAATAGTGGCTAATGATCCTTTGGATGTGGATGCTGAAGGATGGAAGGTGAGGACAAAGGGGACCTAATCGCTGTTGTGGGAGGGAAAAGAGGAGGTGAGGGCTGAAGTGTGGGAGATGGGTTGGACCCGGCTGGGGAATCCTCGGTTGAGGAAGAACATGGACATTTTGGAGGGCCCCTTATTGAAGTTGGCATCATCAGAACTGATGCAACAGAGATGGAGGAGCTAGGAGAATGGAATAGAGTCTTTACAGGAAAGCAGGGTGTGAGGATGCACAGTCAAGGTAACTGTGGGAGTCAATAGATTTGTAGTGGATATTGGTGGGTAGCCTCTCCCCAGAAATAGAAACAAAGATGTCGAAGAAGGGAAAGCAGGTGTCAGAAATGGACCAGGTGCAGGTGAAAGCATGGTGGAAATTGGAAGTGAAATAGATAAACTTTTCCAATTAGTGACAAGAGAGGGAAGCAGCACCGATCATGTCATTGATATTCTGGAGAAAGAATTGTGGGAGGGGCCCTGAGTAAGACTGGAACAAGGAATGTTGAACGTATCCCACGAAGAGACAGGCATAAGTGGGGTGCATGTGGGGTACCCATGGCCAATCCTTTGACCTGAAGAAAGTGAGAGGAGTTAAAAGAGAAGTTGTTCAGAGTGAGAATGAACTTGTCCAGGGAGAGGAGTGTGGTAGTGGAAGGGGCTGTTCAGGCCATTTTTCCATAAAGAAGCAGAGAGCCCTGAGACCATCCTAATGGTGGATGGATGTGTAATAGATTTGCACATCCATGGTAAGCAGGAGGCCATTGGAACCCGCAAACTGGAAATTCTGAAACTGACGTAAAGGGGAATTGTAGATGTAAGTGGGAAGGGACTGGACAAGGGAAGAAAAAAATCAAGTTGAGGTAGGAAGAGATGAGCTCTGTGGGGCACGAGCAAGCAGAAACAATGGGTCTGCCCAGGCTTTTGGGAAGGAGGAACAAGCACACTGTGTGGGGTTGGGAGACTACAAGTTTGGAGGCAGGGTAGGGAGATTACCAGTTGAAATGAAATTAGTGACCATTGTGGTCACCTGATATTCCATGGTGGAGCCATAGTCCAGGGGAAATAGGACGAGGTGTTTGAGAGCTGGTGCTTAGTCTCTGCTATGTAGATGTCAGTATGCCAGACAACAACAGCACCACCCTTGTCAGCAGGCTTGATTATAAGGTCAGAGTTGGATCTCAAAGCACCAAGTGCAGTCAGTTCAGCCAGAGACAGGTTGCAATAGGTGAAGGGGGCAGACAAATTGAGGCAACCAATGTCACATCATCAGTTCTCGATGAACAGCCAAGTGCAGGTAAAAGGCCCAAGGGAGGTGGCTCGGTGGAGGGAGAATGTTGGAGGTATGCGAAGGAGACTCCACGGCCCAATGGCACCTTCCCCTGCAACCACAGAAGGTGTAAAGCTGCCCATTTACTTTCTCTCTCCTCAGTGTCCAAGGTCCCAGACACACCTTCCAGGTGAAGCAGCAATTTATCTACACTTCACTCAATCTAGTCTGCTGCATTAGCTGTCACAATGTGGTTTTGTCTGCATTGAGGAAACCAAGTGTAGACTGGGTGACCTCTTCACAGAACACCTACATCCTATCCACAGAAATGACCCAGAGCTTCCAGTTGTCTGCCACTTCAACACACCACCGTGTTCCCTGGCCAACATCTCTGTTGCAGGCTTGCTGCAGTGCTCCAGCACAGGTCAACGTAAGCTGGAAGAACAGCACCTCATTTTCTGCTTTGGAACTCTATAGCCTTCTGGACTCAATATCGAGTTCAACAATTTTAGGGCTTTGAGGCACCCTTTCCCATGTCCTTACCCCAGCCCCCACACACCAGACCTTGTCATCACATGGGCTGCTTCCACACACAACCCATCATCAGTTACTAATAGTTCCCAGTAGCAGCTATTCATTCCCCAGACTGACCTTATCCCACTCCTTTGTCTGTCCAACAGTTTTTCTCTCTCTTTGGACTCTATCTCCACCTATCGTTTACTCTCCCCATCCTCCCACCCCATCTTCTGCATAAATACCAACCTTTTCTTAGCTACAATCAGTTCTGAAGAAGAGTCACTGGATCTGAAATGTTAATTCTTGATTTCTCTCCACAGATGCTGCCTGGCCTGCTGAGCTTTTCCAGCAATTTCTGTTTTTGTTTTGAAATTGTTTTGCCTGATGTCAGTTGAAAGATAAATATTGGTGAGGACATGGGGAAACCTCCCTACTCATAGAGTCACAGAGTCATACAGCACAGAAACAGACCCTTCGGTCCAGCCAGTCCATGCCAAACATAATCTCAAACTAAACTAGTCCCACCTATCTGCCCTTGGCCCATAACACTCCAAATCTTTCCTATCCACATACTTATCCAAGTAATTGTACCCACATCCACCACTTTGTCAGGATGTTCATTCCACATGCAAAACACCCTCTGTGTAAAAAAATTGCCTCTCATATCTTTTGTAAATGTCTCTCCTCTCACCTTAAAAAGTGCCCCCTAGTCTTGAAATCCTGCATCCTAGGGAAAAGATACCTACCATTAACCCTATTTATATCCCTCATGATTTTATAACCCACTATAAAGTCAACTCTTAAACTCCCACACGCCAGAGGAAAAAGTCCCAGCTTATCCAACCCATTTTTATAACTCAAACCTTCCATACCCAGCAACGTCTTGGAAAATCTCTCTAAACCCTTTCCAGCTTAACAATAACCTTCCTATAATTGGGCTAACAAAACTGGACACGTCTTCACTGTTATGGTTATGCATTCTTTCACCTCCACCTATGAAAGTAGAAAGGGCCTCAATTTAACCCAGTTCCCATCTTCTTCTCTGTCTGCCTATCTCCCGTTGCAGAGCTTCCTAATCACCAAACAGACTCTCCCTCTCTTGATACTATCACTTCCGCTATGACATCTACTCTCAAAGTCTACCGCTTCAAACAAGCCACTGGACATAGAATCATTTGATGGTTACAGCGCTGAAAGAGGCCATTTGGTCCATTGTGTCCATTCTAACCTCTCCAAGAACAACTCAACCATACCCACTACCCTGCCTTTTCCCTATAGTCCCGCAAATATTTTCTCTTCAGGTAATTATCAAATTTTCTTTTGTATGCCTCAGTTGAATCTGCCTCCATTTCAGGTTGTGCATTTCAGGTTCGAAGCACCTGCGTAAGGGAGATGTTCCTCACATTGCCTTTGCTTCTTATGTCATTCACCATTAATCAGTGTCCGCTAATTTTGGATCCTCCTGCCAATGAAATAGTTTCCGCTGTCCACCCTAACTCTGATTTTGAACACCTCGGTCATAATTTCCTCCTGACACTCTCTTCTCCAGGAAGAATGGTTCCAGCTTCTCCAATCTATCTGTGTAATTGCAATGTCTCATTCCTGGAACCATCCTCAAGAATCATACCTGCAGCCTCTCTCTCATAAGATGTAATGTCCAGAAGTGGACACAATACCCCAGCAGAGGTCAAACCAGTGTGTTATACTGGTTTATCATAATTTCCTTGTTTTTGTCCTGTATGTCCCAATTTGTAAATTATGTGCATGTATATCTCCGCTTACTTCTATTCCTATATCTCAAAAACACTGTTAGCTCATCCAAAATCTCAAACACAGTTTCTCCTCAGTAAGTCTGTGTTGGTGTTCTTTAATTAAAATATTGTTGTCCAAGAGACTGTGAAATTTTTAAAAATTCATTTGTGAGAACTGGGCATTGCTGACTGGGCCAGCATTTATTGCCCATGCCTAGTTGCCTTTCAGAAAGTGGTTGCGTTGTTGTCCCAAATTATTGCCTCTAAAAACTTTCCAACTGCCAAGGTTAAGCTGATTTGCCTGCAGTTGCTGCATTTATCCCCAAACAAGATGTACAAGATGTAATGTTGCAATTCTCCAGTCCTCTGGTACCACCCTTCATAACTAAGGAGGACTGAAAGACAATGGCCAGTACCTTAACTTTCATTCTTACTCAGCTCAGGATTCATGGCTGCACCTCATCCAGTTCTGGTGTTTTATTAAGCCTGCCTTTCTAACACCACCTCCTCTTTTGCAAATCTTTACCCCATCCAGTGTCCTACCTGCACCCTCTATCACTGTGATTGCACAGTATTCTTTTTCTTGTTAAACATTAATGCAAAGTATTAATTTAAAACCTCAGCTATCCCCCGGACTCCACGCGCAAACCCCCATTTTGGTCTTGAAACTGCCCCACCTCTTCACTTCCTGTCCTTTTACTACTTTAAATGGCTTCTAGAGGTTTATTTCAAAGAAGACTTTCCTTCTGTGTTAACTACCAATCTCTTCTCATACTCTTGTTTTTTCCTCTAGTTTGATTTTTACTTTCCTGCTGAACATTCCACATTCAATCCACATCGGGTTCTCAGTGGTATTATCTGCCTGACATCTGTCATATGTACCGTTTTTCTGCTGAATCTCATTGTCTATCCCTTTTGTCAACCAAGGAGCACTGGATTTGTTTTCCCTACCTCTTCGCATTGTGAGACTATACCTTGACTATATCCAAAGTAACTCCCTTTAAATGCAGCCATTGATTAGTTCCTGTTATCTGCCAATCTTTAATTTCAATTTACCTGGACCAGAATCATTCTTATCCCATTGATGTTGGCCATGTACCAATTAATTATCCTTACTTCTAGTTGTTGGCTTATACATACACTCAGCAATGTAATGATTGCTCTATTGTTTAGTTGTTTTAACCAATTGATTCTTTCTTTGTTCCCTCAAGGTTATCCTTTCTCTGCAGAATCTGATGCCTTCCTTTATCAATAATGCTACCTCTCCTCCTTTCTTTCCTTCCCTTCCTTCATGAACACCTTATTGGAAGGAATGTTTAGTACCCAATATAGTCTTTTTCTGAACCTGGTCTCCTTTATTGCCATATAACAGTCTCACGAGCCATCTCCACCTGCAGCTCATGACCTTACTCTGCACATTCACATATATGCACAGTAAACCAATTTTAGGCCCACTTATTCTGACCCCACTTTGTACCATACTATTTGCTACTCTAGTACTCTCTCCTGATTCCTCTGCATTTTGATTTCTCTTCCTAATACTAATTCCTGGTTCTTTTACCACTGCCAAGTTAGTTTAAATCCTCCTCAATAGCACCAGTAAATCACCTCTGGAGATACTGATTTGAATCTAGGTGGTTAGAACTTTCAAGCTTGTAGTGTCCTACCTAGTGATTAGTGGTAGAGGATACACCATCATAATCCAGAGATGAGTCACTGTTCTGCAATAACTTGTAGGTTTATGACATGATAGCAACAAGGATAACTACGCTTGCTCAGATGTAATTACTAGGATCTTAGGGAGCTGACACAGATGCATTGCTCACTCCAAAAGCTATGGTAGAACATTCTGTTTCCACCCACAGAATATGTGTGATATCATGGAATGGATTGTGCCAATATAACATGAACATTAACCTTTCCACAGATTCATCATTCATCGGCTGTCCCTCGCAAACGAGGATGACTGTCTTTCACTATCAGGGTGAGTCCATAGGTGGCTGTACACACCAGTATGGCTATTGCAGGCTCTGTTACATTTGGGGCAGATGGTGGTCATGGGAAAGTGTGGGTGGGGTATTGGTGTGGCCGCGTGCTGCTTTCGCTGTTTTCACCTGGCTTCCATTTTTTCTCCGATGGCATGTCTCGATGTACTCGATGCCTTCCCGGATGCTCCTCCTCCACTTTGGACAGTCTTGGGTCAGTGATTCCCAGGCGTCTGTGGGAACGTCGCACTTCGCCAGTGAGGCCTTGAGGGTATCACTGATCGGCTTCCTCTGTCCACTTAGGGCTCTCCTACCATTTTGAAGCTGGCAGTAGAGCACTTGCTTGGGGAGTCTCATGTCAGTCACGTGGATGACATACCCAGCCCATCATAGCCAATCAAGGGTGGTCAATGCCTCAATGCTGGGGATGTTTGCTTGGTAGAGGATGCTGATCTTGGTGCGTCTTTTGTCCCAGTGGATTCGCAGGATCTTGCGCAGGCAGCGTTGGTGGTACTGCTCCAGTGCCTTGAAGTGTCTGCTGTAGACAGTGCATATCTCAGAGCCATATAGGAGGACAGGAACCACCACAGCTTTGTAATGGATTCATACAGTGCAGAAAAGGCCCTTTGGCCCATCGAGTCTGCGCCAACATAACTACCACTAAAAGGAACGTTAATCCCAAATTCCTGCACTTGTCCCATATCCTTTAATGTTATGATTTTTGAAGTACTTATCCAAATATTTTTTAAAGGTTGTAAGGCTTCCAGTCTCTATTACCTTCCCAGGCAGTGCATCCCAGATTCTCACAAATCACTGAGTGAAAAGATATTTTTCCCAAATCCCTTCTGAATCTCTGGCCCCTTATCCTAAAACTATGCCCTCTTGTGATTGACCCCTCAGCCAATGGGAACAGCTGCTCACTATTCACCCTGTCCATAGCCCTCATAATCTTATACACCTCAATCATGTCTCCCCGCAGTCTTCTTTGCTCTTAAGAAAACAAACCAAATCTATCTAGTCTCTTCTTATAGCTCACTTTCTCCATCCAGGAAACATCTGGTGAACTTCCTCCGTAACCACGCTAGTGCTATCACATCCTTCCTGTAGTGAGGTGACCAGAACTGCACACAGTACTCTAGTTGTGGCCTTACCAATGCTCTGTACAACTCCAACATTACCTCCTTGCTCTTATAGCCTGATGAAAGCAAATGTCCCAAATGACTTCTTAACCATCTTTTCAGAACCATTAGTTTCTACCACAAATGACACACTTGACCTTGGCACCAAGGAAGCAACATGCCATCCTGGATTCAAGTTGATGGCTAAAGAAACCCCTTACTGTTGAATTCTCTATCACTATTGCTTTTCCGATCTTCATCTCACCCTCTGTACAGCTTAGTCAGCCATAGTGTGATGGACCAGGCTTTAGATGCACTACCTAGAGGAGTTATTATTCTCACCCATATTCAGAATGGAATAAAAACCAGTTCTGAGGAAGGGTCACCAGACCCGATGCTGCCAGATCTGCTGAGCTTTTCCAGCAACTTTGTTTTTGTTCAGAATGGAACACTGGTTAGAGGGCAAAACACACTCAGGAGACACTTGTGGTACCTGCTTGGTCCTTCTTTACTGCCTTGGGTCACCAATTCCCTTTCTGCCCGAATACCCTTAAACTGCTGCAGGGCGACCACATCCACTCAAATGTTTTCCATCCAAAGACATACTGCAATAATCAGCTCTGAAGTCTGGAGCTCAATCTGCTGCAGTTGGAGATACCTCCTGCACTTCCTGGGTGCAAAAAGCATCCAGTGGAATTTCCCACTACCTCTTCTCTCAATCCAACCCTCTTAGTTAGTTTGGGTTACTGTGTCACATGAAAGAGTTAATGAATGGAATGTTAGAATATGTTCTTTTTCTAATTAATGATTTCTAAAGCTCACCTTTCTGTGGCATGGCAATAGTATTACACCCAAAATCAGTAATTTTCACCACCATCCGGCTGTCCACGACACAGTTTGTCGATTTCAGGCTCCCATGTACTTCAATTTTGCTTGAGTGTAGATAAGACATGCCCTTAAAAACCATTGCCAACGAATCAGTCAGGAATTGAATGATACAACAGCATAAAACATTCTTTGACCATAAATGAGAAAGTAGCACAATAGAGAACATTTAATTAGCAGCTGGTAATTTCTTTGATGGGTGGATTAATTGCTCACTTCAGACAGCGAAGAGAGTGCATTACTCTGTATCCAACCCTGGGTTGTACCTGTCTTGGAAATATTTGACGAACTGTGTAGAGGAAGCATTATTCTGTATCTAACCCCATGCTGAACCTGCCCTGGGAATGTTTGATGGGGACAGTGTAAAGGGAAGTTTATGCTCTTTCTAGCCCTGTCTGCTCCTGTCGTGGAAGTGAGGACAGTGTAGAGGTTCCTTTACTCTGTACCTAACCCTGAGCTGTATCTGTCCCGGAAATGTTTGATTGAGACATTATACAGGGATCTTTATTTTGTATCTAAACCCGTGCTATATCTGTCCTGAGAGTATTTGATGGGGACAGTGCAGAGGGAGGTTTACTCTGTATCTAACTGCATTTTTTCAATCCCGGAAGCGTCAATACTGACACTGACTGACCAGAATAGAATGTGTTCTGTTCCTTGGTGTAAATTTACATGACCTTGCCAATGAGAAATTAACACTGTAATGATGTGAGGTCACTCCAGGACCCAATTCATATTTTTACTTAGCTTTCTGTTGCTCAGTTTTATGAATTCTCACATTTTTGAACTGAATTGAAATGAATTGAATTGAATTAGCTTTATTGTCACTTGTATTCACATGAGTACAGTGAAAAGTTTACAAGTCACCACTTACGGTGCCATCTTAGGTACAAAGGTACCTAGGTACAGATTCTTGGGTACAAATTTTGAGTGAAAAAAAGTAGAAAAATAAAGAAATAAAAAGTCCAGCATTACAGACCTTCAAAAGTACAAAATCACAGTCATAAATTAGAAAAATAAAGAAATAGAACTTCAAAATAACAGTCCTTTAGAATTGTAATGGATTACTTTTGAAATGGAAATAACTACAAATACTCCTCGCTTTGCCAGTTTGCTACTGATGCAGTTAGTGAGGGGACCCACATGCAGGGAATCGCAAACTTGAAACACCTTGTCAAGGAGATCATAAGCAGTGTGTCAGAACGCCTTAGTCACGGGAAGAATATTGCAGCTATAATTAACCCAATCTTCATCTGACACACAAAGTCACACGTGCATGCACCAAATGCACTCAACATGTTTGGTCACACACACATGCATTGTGTATTTTACAGTAAACATTACTGGACAGTGAACAGGAGGGGGAATCTGACTGAAGCCGGTCCTTTTGTAGCAAGGTTTAGAAAATGGTCAATCAGTAAAATATTGCCTGCCCATCTTCAACCTTTTGGCAATCAAGTTGATGCCTAAAGCTGCTCTTCATGAGAATTTGCAGCATTCACAGTATGAATTTCACACTTACCTTTGCAATATCATACATGACTGATATCTTGAACTCTAAATCCATGAAAGTCCCGTCTGGGTACGATATTTTATCATTCAAAACATCCTGAGGGAAGCAATAGAAACAGTCAGCACTGCACCATTAGGGGGTGTCAACTGTCGGCACAGAGACCAATTTGGTGATCTTGACCACTAAAGCTCAGTACTGACTGCAGTTTGGATGTGGCTAATGTTGTGGTTCATCAGTTTCCCAAGCACAAGTTCCACAGATCACCTCGCAAAATGCTTTCTTTTTTCCTTATTCTGTGGAATGTCTTAAGTTTTTGTCAGAACAGATGTAGAATGTAGAAGGGTCATATAAACATCAACTTTATTTCTCTCTGTATAAATGCTTCCAGTCCTGTTAAGTTTCTCCAGGACATTCTGTTTGTATGTCAGGTTTCCAGCATCCACGGTGCTTTGTTTTTGTATAGACGTAGAATTGATAGAGTTGCCTCTTGTGGGTGCTGTCAAAACTGGGAGCCACAAATAGAAAATAGTGGCTAATGAAATCAGGATAATTTTTTTTATTCAGCGTAGGGAGACTGTGGAACTCACTAGCACAAGAAGTGGTTGCAGTGAATAGCATGGCTGTGCTTAACTGGAAGCAGGTACATGAAGGGGAAAGGGATTTAACATTATGTTGATAGTCTGGGATAAAGAGGAGTCGGAGTATAAACCCTCAGAGAGATCTGTTGGGTGGAATGATCTGTAACTCAATCCAGTTCTAAATAATTCTGTGACAGAGTAGAAAGAGGCAAACAGAATGTAATTCCATTCGGGCCCAATTTTTTAGTCTCCAGTAGTTCAATAGAAACCTTGAAACTTAGTTCACATGTAAGTATTGACATGATGAGTCAGAAAGAAATCATGGTTTGATAAAGGGTTCTATCAAGGCTTCCTTCCACAAACTACTTACCATCAGCTCTTAAAACTATCCGACCCATCCACGTACCCCCTACCCTATCATCTACCGAGTTAAGTTTTGAACAACTTCACCATGAGGGTCAAAGTTAATCTAGCATATTTCCACAAATCTATTCATCCTATACAATTCTACTCTGGCTATTTCCTCATTACTGGCGCTTTGTGAATTATTTGTTTTTGCTCAATCTATGTTCAGTCCCACTGATTGGAAGGACAGCCAAAGTCAAAGTTAGACAGCCATCTCAGTGGAGCCCAGCCTCTACTGAAATGCTCAAACTCACCTCAGTTTGGACTCTAGGCCTCAAATCACTCTTGTTTATAAATTACCTTATTTACAGTCTATGTTATGCCACTGACCATTAGATGATCCACAGAAACACAAATTTCTCACTTTTTACGCATGTTACAAAAGACATGTGTCTGAACTTATGTTGTTCTCCCCTTCATCTCAATGTTCTATAGATGGAATTTTGATGCTACTGGAGGCAATCCATGGTAAATAACCACATGGTCACCCTAATGGAGAGGAAGAGAAATTGCAATATTTTCATTTCAAATTGGAAGACAACTTCCCAAGCAAAATTCAGCACCAGTCCTGCCAATCTCTGTACATTTTAATTGTTTTTTTTTCAGTACTTCAAAGAAAACTACTGAATGAGGAAATGGTAGCGATTACCTATACAATATAAGGGAGTCTACCTAATTTATTTAGCCTGCCATGGAATACAACTAATAAAGGAGAATCAGGAAATTCCTGTTTAACTATCAGCTTAACATTGTGAATCACTCTAACCCTGTGAGTTTTGTTCCGCAAATCACACCTCCAGTCCCACATTGTTACTAATGTACGATAGACAGGACTTGATCATCTATTAAACCACTAACTTTCCATCCCTTCCTTAAAGATCCACAGCTCCATGAAAGCACGCTCTTCTAAATCATGGGTTCATACAGTCCCACTCTAGAGACTGGTAAACAAATTCTAGAGTGACACACCAGTACTGTATCGAGGAAATGCCATGCTATTGAAAGTGAAATGTCTCAAATAAAACCTTAAGATTCTACAGCAAGAATAGACAATTTCTAATGGAGTTCAGTGAATAATGACCAAGGACTCGGATTTATTTTCCAATCTCCATCATACTACACCTTTCCCATCCGCGAATGGTAAATCTCTTAGCTGCTGAAACCAGGATAAGCATCAACCACTGCTTATGAATCCCTTATAAATCCATAAACTAACCAACTACAGGAAGCTGTAGGTTGACTTACCCTCAGTGATCCTCGCTCACAATATTCATTCACTTTATATATCTCAAAGTCAACCTTTACTGTTCCATAGAATTTCGTTAAATTGTAATAATCGATTTGCAGCAGCTGAAAGAAAAATGCTTTCATTTAGAATCATGTACTAAGCTGTTTAATAATCACACAATCATAGATTGATAGAGCATACAGGAGACCGTTTTTCCCATCATGGTTGTACCCAGTCTTTGAATTGATTCTTGTTCGTTCACCATAATCCTCCAAATGTTGACACTTAAAGTATTTGTCCAATTTCCTATTGCAAGTCGCAGGTAGACAGGATAGTGAAGAAGGCATTTGGTATACTTGCCTTTGTTGGTCTGTGCATTGAGTACAGGATTTGGGAGGTCATAATGCGGCTAAACAGGACATTGGTTAGGCCACTTTTGGAATACTGCATTCAATTCTGGTTTCCTTGCTATAGGAAAGATGTTGTGAAACTTGAAAGGGTTCAGAAAAAGATTTACAAGAATGTTGCCAAGCCTGGAGGGTTTGAGCAACAGGGAGAGGCTGAATAGACCGGGGTATTTTCACTGGAGCATCAGAGGCTAAGGGGTGATATTATAGAAGTTTATAAATTCATGAGGGGCTTGTATAGGGTGAATAGCCCAGGGAAAACTGGAGGGCATAGGTTTAAGGTGAGAGGGGAAAGATTTAAAAGGGACCTAAGGGGCAACTTTTTCACGTAGAGGTGGTGCGTGTATGGAACAAGCTGCCAGAAGAAGTGGTGAAGGCTGGTACAACTACAACATTTAAAAAGCATTTGGGTGGAAACAGGGAAGGAAGGGTTTTCAGGGATATGGGCCAAATGTCGGCAAATGGGACTAGATTAATTTAGGGTATCTAGTTGGCATGGACAAATTGGACTAAAGGGTCTGTTTCTAAACTGTATATCTTTATGATTCTAAGTTTTTATTGAATCAGCTTTCATTGTTCTTTCAAACAGATCACACATTTTTGTGTAAAAAGAAAATTTTGGCTCTCTATCTCAAGCTGTCAGATCCAGGATCATGTACACCTTTACTGACTTGGCCTGCCATCTTTGAAACTTCACAACAAGTGTGTTTATATGGCTCCTTTAAGGTAGTGAATGCCCTGAGGCACTTTGCAGATGATTATGTGAAGGGAACACCAAGTGTTACTCTGGATTATTAAGTGTATATTTTGTTACACAAATATAGACATCCTGGGTTTTGGTGCAATTTTATTTAGTCCTGATTAAGTTCGGATTTCTTACTTGCGCTCTTAGGAGGTCTTGTGCGCATGGATAATGAGCCTGACTCTCAGGAGAAGTTAAACAGAAATTGTTGAAAAAACTCAGCAGGTCTGGCAGCATCTGTGAAGAGAAAGCAGAGTTAATGTTTTGAGGAGGTTCACTGCATCCTAAACATCAATTGTGCTTTCTCTCCTGCTGAGTTTTTCCAGCAAATTCTGTTTCTGTTTCTGATTTCCAGCATCTGCAGTTCTTTCAGCTTTTTGTTTCTGAGCAGAAGTTCCAAGTTTGAGTCCCACTCAAGTACACGATAATAAAGGAAGGCGTGTGTATTCATTATTTAGCCAATGTAGCTGAGTATCATCTGGAAAATCCTTCCAACAGAAGTCAATGCAAGGTGATAAGAGAAGGAGAGATTCCTGATCATGAGGGGAAATAAACTGGAGACTCAACTACCATTATCCACAGCTCCATACAACAATATGCATACATTCCCACATACTCAAGCTCCCTTAATGATCTGTAACACACAACGCCACACAATCGCACACTTGAACCTTTGGTAATTATAGTTTTTTTAAATCAACGTGTTTGAACATAATATGGCACAGCTCCGGAGCAGTTGTGACTTGAACCTAGACACCTGGTCCAGTAATGAGCTGCCAGAGGAGGTTGTGGAGGTTGGTACAACATTTCAAAGACATTTGGATGGATATATGAATAGGAAGGGTTTAGAGGGATAAGGACCAAATGCTGGCAAATGGGACTATATTAATTTAGGATGTCTAGTCGGCATGGATGAGTTGGACCAAAGAGTCTGTTTCCATGCTGTACAACTCTATGACTCTAAGTAGGAACATGACCATTGAGCTACAAACCCTCTTCTGTTAATTGTACGAATTGAGGAGGGCATTCATAATTTGAGCACATTCAAAAGAGACACATGTTGACACTTGGATGGTGAATAAAGCAAGGAGTGCCAACACGCTTGTGAAACAGGCAGCCGCATTTTGCAGGGTTTTGGGGGCCCTCAAGCTGTTATTCAAAATGTAGGTAATTGTTAATTGAAAGACGCTGTTCATCTAATCAAAAGCTGTTTCTCTTTTGCGTTTCCTGCTGATATTTTAGCTGTGTTAGGTATCCCTGACAGCACTGTGGGTCTGTGTACACCAAATGGTCTGCACTGCAGCAGTTCGAGAAGGCAGCTCACCACCACCCTCTCAAAGGTTTGTGTGTGTGTGTACGTGTGCATGTGCGTGTGTGTGTGTGTGTTCACGTGTTCACGTCTGTGTGTGAGACACTCCATGTAATAAACTGTCATTTGTGTGTGTTCAGGCAAAAAACATTGTTTTCTGTATTATGGATGGAGGGCAAAGAAAACTATGGGGAAATAGTTCAATGGCCCCAGTACACAGAGTTCAATGGGGTGTTCTTTTGTTTCAAGAGTTTTACAGTTCTCTGATCTTCTCCTTAACGTTCATTCAACTGGCCCTGCACACCTACTTCAGGCTCCTAATTACTGATTATAGCTCTACCTTCAGCACCATAATTCAAACAAAACACATCTCCAAACTCCGAGACCTAGGACTCTGCTCACCCATCTGCATCTTCCTGACCTGCAGACTGCAATCACTAAGGATAGGCAACAACACCTCCTCCATAACAATCCTTTAAACTGGTGCTCCGCAAGGCTGCGTACTCAGCCACCTACTAGACTCCTTATACACTCAAGGCTATGTGGCTAACTCCATTTTCAAATTTGCTGATGACGCCACCATAGCGGGTCGATCTCAAACAATCATGAGACAGAGTCGAGGAAAGAGATAGACAGCTTAGTGGCATGGTGTAAAGACAGCAATCTCTCCCTCAATGTCAGCAAAATGAAGGAGCTGGTCATCGACTTCAGGAAGCAGAGTGGAGGACATGCCCCTCTCTATATCAATGGTGTTGAGGTGGAGGTGGTCGAGAGCTTTAAGTAGCTTGGAGTAAATATCATCAACGATCTATCCTGGTCCATCCACATCGACGCTACAATCAAGAAAACACACCAATGCCTCTACTTCCTCAAAAGGCTAAGGAAATTCACCATGTCCACAATGACTCTTACCAATTTTTATAGATGCACCATAGAAAGCATTATATCCAGATGCATCATAGCTTGGTATGGCAACTGCTCTGGCCAAGGCTGCAAGAAATTGACCGAGAGTTGTGAATGCAGCCCAGTCCATCATTAAAACCAGCCTTCCTCCGACTGACTCTGTCCACATTTCCTGCTGCCTCAGGAAAGTTGCCAAAATAATTAGAGACACCTCCCACACTGGTTATACTCTCTTCCACCCAATTCCAGAAGACACAAAAGTTTGAAAACCTGTACTATCCACTTTAAGAACAGCTTTTTCCCCTCTGTTATCAGACTTATGAACAGAACTCTCATATATTAGAGTTGATCTTTCTCTTCAGCTTCTCTGTAGCTGTAACACGATATTCTGCATTCTGTTCTTTTACCCTGATGTACTTATTAAGGTACGATTTGTCTAGTTACTATGTAAAACAGTACTTTTCATTGTATCTCGGGACATGTGACAATGATACATCAAATCATTTCTTCACAGAAGGTACAGAGCAACTGGTTCACAAATGATAAGATCTCTAACCTATTAGTTAAGGTTACAGGAACTGGTGGGAGAAAATAAAATGGCTTTCTTCAGTCTTGAGGTGTTTTCCTGGAGAACACAAGAGACACACCTTCTACCTTCTCAGTGGTCCAAAGGCTTCTGCCAGTATCGTTCACATCCACAGGCTGTTCAGCTACATAACAGCCAATCCGCTACTGGTTGTCAGGCTGATGGCCTTTGACACCTACATCTGGTTACAAATTCCTCAAACCAATCAGCTGCTCGTTGACGGCTGAATCTCACTTTCTATACACATCCCAGATCCATACAACTCCTTTAACACCTTTCTTCACAACTTACAAAGCAACAGTGTAAACATGATTTACAGTGAGTTTCAGCAACTTTAGCAAGTACTACAATTCCTTCCTCAGTTCCTTGCTGTAAAAATAGTCCTTTTCCCACAGCTGACCTGTGGAGAATCACTTGAGAAAACTTGGCAAGACTCACGGAGTGAAATCTTCCATGAAACGCACCAAAGTTGTCACTTAGCTGATTTCTGGTAAACGTCAGCCCATTATCTGAAATGAAAAAGGCAGGGGAGTGGCACTACGTGAATTGTGCCTCCAGCAATTATGCTGGCACAGGCATGAGGGGCTGAATAGCTTCCCTCTGTGCTATAACCATTCTAGAAATCAGCACCACTAATACAAATAATTGACCATTAGTTCAAATTAGTTGTCACGCTTCCATCATTATAAGAATGATTGTATTTGAATAAATGCTTGATTGGCTGTAAATCATCTTTTGATATCATAAAAGATGCTTTGAAATCCAAATCTTCATTCTCTTCTTTTTTAGCATTTGTTCCAAATACTATACAATCTACTTAGAACTGGTGAGAGTGGAGTTACCTTATTGAGTTCAATCTTTTGCATCACAGTGAAGTTCCCATCTTTGTGTTTCAGCTTCTTCAAGACAACAATCTGAGCGAGGGAAAAAGAAAACATGGTTTTATTTAGATCCAGAATCAGCATGGATTTTAGGTTGGCAAGCTAAGTATTCTATGAGGAAAGTTTGGTTTCAAGTTGTGAGGAAGTTGTTTAGCACTATATGCGGTGTTCTAAGTGACAGCAAGTAATTACATGTGTGTTGGACAGTGAGCAATGATATTGACTATATTTATGACACCTTGTCTCCTGGCTTCCTAATCTCATAAACATCACCATCCCGTACGTCCACCAACTGGTGAAACCCCACAAGTTGACAGATGACATCAAGTGCCCACTCCACAATGACCTATTCAACCCACCCATTGTTGTTTTCATCTTGGCACCCTGTATGCAGCAACCCACCTGAAAAAGAGATACCAGCAGACATGATTTGGAGCAACAAATGGGAAACACAGAAATAGATTAACAAGTTCCTTGTGACAAATTCCATCTGTTCAATGACAAACCTTGAATCTCTGTGGAGAGGCTGATCCTTGCTGAGCAGGTTCAAGTTAAGCCAAGGCCCCTGTGCAGGCTCCCTCCACCAGTAGGCCTCAATATAAATCCTTTATGCACTTATAGAGTCATAGAGTCATACAGCAGGAAAACAGACATTTCAGTTGAAGCAATCTATGCTGGCCATAATCCCAAACTAAACTAGTACCACCTGCCTGCGCTTGGCCCATATCCCTCCAAACCTTTCCTATTCATGTACTTATCCAAATGTCTTTTAAACATTGTAACTGTACCTGCATCCACCAATTCCTCTTGAAGTTCATTCCACACACAAACCATTCTCTGCATAAAAAAATTGCCCCTCCTGTCTTTTTTGAAATCTTTCTCTTCTCATCTTAAAAATTATACCCCCTAGTCTTGAAATCCTCCACCTTAGGGAAAAGACAACTGCCATTCACCTTATCTATACCCCTTATGATTTCATAACCTCTTTAAGGTCACCACTCAACCTCCTACACTCCACTGAAAAAAGTACCAGCCTATCTCGCCTCTCCTTATAACTCAAACCTGCCATTCCTGGCAACATATTGGTAAGTCTCTTCTGAACCCTCTCCAGTTTCATAATATCCTTCCTATAACAGGGCAACCAGAACTGCAAACAGTACTCCAGAAGAGGACTCATCAATGTCCTGTACAACCTCAACATGACGCCCCAATTTCTATATTCAAAGGTCTGAGCGATGAAAGCAAATGTGTTAAATGCTTTCTTAACCACCCAGTTTACATGCGACAAAAACTTCAAAGAATTATGTACCTGAACCTGTAGGTCTTGCTGTTCTACAGCTGTACCCAAGGCCCTACTTTTAATTGTATAAGTCCTGCCCTTGTTTGTTTTATCAAAATGCAATACCTCACATTTATCCAAATAAAACTCTGCCACTGCTCAGCCCAATGACCCAATTGATCAAGATCTCTTCATAATCTTAGACACCTTCTTCACTGTTCACTATACTACCACTTGTGGAGAGACACAAACAATATCACATATTACTGGGAATCTCCCCTCGACAGACTTGGTGGCAGATTAATCACCTTAAATTAGAAAATGAGGAGGCTATTGCTTGGCTTTGGGGATTTGGATTCACTAAATAAAGAAAATAATGCAATATAATGTCCCTAGGCACTTCACAGGAACACTATCAAACAGAATTTGATGTTTAGCCACATAGGGAGATGTTAGAAAAGGTGCTCACAATTTTGTTAAGGAGGTGCATTTAAAGAAACATTTTAAAGGAGGAGGGATATAAAGGTGCAGAAGTTTAAGGAGGGAATTTAAAGAGGGAATTCCAGTGGTTCAGGCTTTGGCAGATGAAGGTTGCCAATACTGGAGACTAGAAATTGGAGGTGTGTTGCTTTCTCAGAAGATTGTAGCATAAAGAGGGGGCAAGGCCACGGATGAATTTCAAAACAAAGATAAGAATTTTAAAATCAAGGTACAATACCTTTTTGTCATATTTTGCTCTCCATAAAGGCACCAGGTTTTCTTTTCTTTTGTCCTCTTCAATCTTGAGATGAAAGACAGAGTGGATTAGTCGCAGATACAGTGGAGGGCATTTGTGATTTTTTAACATGTCACTAATAGATATTTTGTTTGGCCCATTATTGTCTGAGATGGTTCTCTGAATGAGCTATCAAATTAGTCTATACTTCTTTTGCTACAATATTGCATTTCTTTCCCCCTTCAAGTATTGATGCAGTTGCCCTTTGAACCTTTGTGTTGAATCTGCTTCCATTGACGATTCAGGCAGTTATGAATATACGCATTATGAACAGGATAGCGTATTTTGTTCCTTGAACACAATCCACCATTTTATAAGATTATGGCTGATTTGATTTTGGGTGTGGCCTTAATTTTCCTACCTCCACCCGACACCATTTGACTCTCTTGTTAATACAAATATTCTCCATACAAATATTCAATGACCTGCTGCCACTGCTTTCTGTGTATGATAATTCCACAGATTTACGATTCTACAAGAGAGAAAAAAAATCTCATCTCCCTGTTAAATGAGAGAAACATGATTTTTAAAACTGTGTCCCCTGGGTCTAGGGTCTCAAGACAAAACATGGTCTCAGAATCCACCCTCAGGATCTCATGTTTTACTGAGATAATCGTTCATTATTTTAAACTCTAATGGCTTTAGGTCCAATCTGTCCAAGCTTTTCTCATAAGACAATCATTTAATCCTTGTTTCGAAGAAGAGTCTATTGGAGTTGAAACATTAACTCTGTTCTCCTCTCTTCACAAATGATGTCACAACACCTATATCCCATGAACAAATAAGCAAAAGTGCACTAGGAGAACCAGATCCCTCTGCACCTCAGAGCTCTGCAATCTCTCACCACTTAGATAATACGACTTTTTTACTCTTCCTACCAAAATGGACCATTTCACGTCTTACCACATTATACTCTATTTGCCAAATCTTTGCATACTCACTTACCCTATTCAAATCCCTCTGTAGCATTCTTATAACCTCTGTGGAATTTTCTGTCTTCTCATCCAAGTAAGTTAGACATATTGTAAACTGTTGAGGTCCCAGCATTGATCACATAGCACACCACTCATTACATCTTGCCAAGCTGAAAATGAACAATTTCTGCCTGTTCTCTGCTTCTTATTAAACAGCCAATCTTCCTTCCAACCCAATATACTACTCCTGCTATAGGAAGGATGTTATTAAATTAGAAAAGGTACAGAAAAGATTTACAAGGATGTTGCTGGGACTGGAAGGTTTGAGCTATAAGGAGAGGCTGGATAGGCTGGTACTTTTTTCCTTGGAGCATAGTGGTGTCCTTATGGAGGTTCATAATATCATGAGGGGCATGTATAAGGTGAATAGCCAAGGTCTTTCCCCTAGGGTAGGGAAGTCCAAAGCTTGACCGCATAGGGGAATGATTTAAAAAGGACCTGAGGGGCAACTTTTGCACACAGAAGGTGGAATGAACTGCCAGAGGAAGTGGTAGAGGCGGATACAGTTACAACATTTAAAAGAAATTTGGACAGGTACACGGATAGGAATACGGGCCAAATGCTGGCAAATGGGACTAATTTAGTTTGGGAAAACTGGTCAATATGCACAAGTTGGGCTGAAGGGTCTGTTTCTGTGCAATATGACTCTATGGCTCTATGATTATGACTCCTATATCATGAGCCTTTATTTTCTATAGGAACCTTTGATTTGGCTCTTTATCAAATGCTTTCTGGCAATCTAAGTACAACACATCCATGATTCCCCTTTATCCACAGCACATATTACTTCCTCAAAGAACTCCAATACATAGGTAAACATGATTTCCCTTTCACAGAACTATGTTAACTCTCCCTGATTACCACAAATGTTGTTAAGTGCCCAGCTGTAACTTCTTCAATAATACCTTCAAACATTTTGCCTTTGACATATGATAAGCTAACTTGCATGTTGATTCCCACTTCCTGTCTCACTCAGAGTTCTGTTAGCTATCTTCCAATCTAACCGCACATTCCATGAATCCAGGAGTTTTGGAAAATAAAATTAATGAATCAATTATCTCACTAGCCATTTTTTTCAAGATCCTAGGATGTAGTCCATCCAGGCAGTTGTCAGCCTGCAACTCCAACAATTTGCTCAGTCTCACTTCTCTGGTGATTGTAATTCTTCCGGGCTCCTCCATCCCTTCCATGACTTGATTTATCACTGCTTTTGGGATATTACTTTATCCTACATAGTGAAGACTGATACTAAATACTGTTTAATTATCTGCCGTCTCTTTATTTTCTATGATCAATATTCCAGACTCAGGATAAACTTCTACAGGATAAGTGCTCACTTTGTTAACTCTTTTCTTCTTAAATTATTTAATAAAAACTCTCACTGTCTGCTTTTACACTTCTGGCTGGTTTTTATATCACACTCTAATTTTTTCTTCCTTATTAATTTGTGTCATTCTTTGCATTTTTTTATGTTCTGTCCAATCTTCTGAATGTCTACCTGTCATTGCATACGTATATGCTTTTCTTTAAGTTTGGAACTATCTTTAATCTTTCTTATTAATCATGGGGGGAGTTCATTCCTTAAAAGTTTTCTTATTCTTTGCATAGCACCATCTTTTTATGTTCTGAAAATTCCCCTTAAGTGCCTGCCACTACGTCTCTATTGACTTATTCTTTCACCTAATCTATCAAGTCATTTTAGCTAGCTCTGCTTTTATTTCCTCATAATTGCCCTTATTTAATATTTTAAAAAATAGTCTTAGACCCACTCCTGTCTCTCAAATTGAATAAAAAAGTCACAAAGCCTCATCTGGACACAAAATGTTAGCTTGCTCTCTCTCCACAGAAGCTGCCTGACCTGCTGTGATTTCCAGCATTTTTTGGTTTCAGTACAGATTCCAGCATCTGCAGCAAATTGCTCTTAAATCATATTACTGCTGCTAACTAGGGCATCTTCACAATGAGATCATTAATTATTCCCCTCTCACTGGAGTCCATCCATTCTTCATGATGTTGTTTGAGGGGTAAATCGTAGCCAGCAAAAAAAGAGTGTAAGTGTTCTGTGTCACATACGTTAAGGTCCTAAACTTAGTCATAGTGTCATACAGCATGGAAACAGACCCTTCGGTCCAATGGTTTAGGAAGCCATTCAGTTCAAGGGAAGTTAGGGATGGAGAACAAGATGCCCATATCCCGTAAAAGAACAAAAGAATAAACACACAGAATCCCTACAGTGTGGAAACAGGCCATTCGGCCCAACAAGTCCACATGGCCCCTCTGAAGAGCATCCCACCCAGACCCATTCTCCTAATCTAACCCGCCTAACCTAAACATCCCTGGGCACTATAGCATGGCCAATCCACCTACCCTGCACATCTTTGGACTTTGGGAAGAAACCGGAGCACCCAGAGGAAACCCATGGAGATACAGGGAAAACGTGCGAACTCCACACAGACAGTCGCTTGTGGCTGGAATCGAACCCACGTCCCTGGCGCTGTAAGGCAGCAGTGCTAATCACTGAGCCACCATGCCACCCAAAGAAAAAGGGATGAGTGAGGAATGAGGACCGACTGATGTCACAATCAGCACCTCATCTAAGTGGCCATAGGCTGCATTTAATGTTCCCCTGCTGGCTGGTTTAAAGGTGGGGAGGGCACATCTTAGAACAAATCTAGTCTTTAACAGCTTGCACAGTTTGGAAGACTTATTGAAACATGTGCCCAATATAGGCTTTGCCAGCCCCTGTTTGCACTTGTTATTGTTTAAGGGTAGATTTACCTTCAGGTTGATGCTGTTTTTCTCATCTTCCTCCAGTGGTAGGATTTGATCACGAGAAATGTGTGACCATTTCTCTAAGTATAGTTTCTGTTCCTTTCTGTACTTCCTGTTAGCAAAGCATTTGGCAAATTAAAAGAGTTAATGTGTATTTATAAGCATGCTCTATGCCTGCAAAACAACTGAGAATTGCCAAATTGGTGGAGCTCAGGTATCAAATGAAAAGATGGGAGCAGCTAAAGCATCATTTAAATTGAACAGATTCTTAAATACAGTGTGGATATCCGAGATGCTGTAGTTATCACCCTGTGGCAGAAAGAAGGGCTCCAAACAATATGGTGGAATATTATAATTAGTCATTTAATAGGCCGGGAGAAAAACAGAACGAACTTTTTAACTTCAAGAGGTAAAAGGAAATGAGTGAGGAACGAGAACTGATTGATTGTCACAATCAGCACCTCATCCAAGTGGCCATAGGTTGCATTTAATGTTACCCTGCTGGCTGGTTTAAAGGTGGGGAAGGCACATGGATGCATCAACATACTCATCTGTTCCTGCTGCAACTTTACTTGCTGCTGCCCTCTTGTAGCCCAATTGATGCCCTTAAGGCTACTTACCTCTCACTGAAAGGCCTCACCTTCACTACCATCTGGATTTAACAAGTGGTGGGAGAGGTCCAAGCCAAATGGGCAGCCCAGTTGCTTTTCCTGCACAGGCTTATGCTAGGTTGTGGTGGCCTCTCCTTAACAGGCCCTCCAGATCCCCCCAGCTTTCCTCTTCTGGCTCCCAATCCACGCCCCCACAGCTAATTTTCAGTGGCACTGCTAGTACTGGAGGCATCCGGTTGCAGGGCGGCATGGTGGCTCAGTGGTTAGCCCTGCTGCTGCCTGGGTCTGATTCCAGCCTTGGGTGACTGTCTGTGTGAGGTTTGCATGTTCTCTTTGTATCAGTGTGGGTTTCCTCTGGGTGCTCTGGTTTCCTTCCACAGTCCAAAAGCATGTAGGTTAGGTGGATTGAACATGCTAAATTGCCCATAGTGCTCAGGGATGTGCTGGCTAGGTGGGTTAGCCTTGAGAAATGCAGGGTTACGGGGATAGGATAGGGAGTTGGGTCTGGGTGGGATGCTCTTCAGATGGTTGGTGTGGACCCAATGGGCCAAATGGCCTGCTTTCACACTGCAGGGATTCTATGATTCGAGAATCTGGATTGCTAACTTTCTAATAATTCTAAGATTCTGCAAACTGAAGAGTTTGGACTCACCAGAGCTGTCAGGCCTGTCAGGTGTACATCTCTTACATTCCGTCAGCTTTGTGAATACGTGTTTTCCACTTCAAGGTTAGCAATCCAGATTATAGAACCATAGAATCCCTGCAGTGTGGAAGCAGGCCATTTGGCCCATTGGGTCCACACTGACCATCCAAAGATAATCCAACCTAAACCCAGTGCCCTAACATACCCTTGTAACCTTGCATTTATAATGGTTAATCCACCTAACCTACATATCTTTGGACTGTGGGAGGAAACTGGAGCAGCCAGCAGAAACCCAGGCAGACATGGGGAGAATGGGCAAACTCCACACAGACAGTCACCCAAGGCTAGAATTGATCCCAGGACCCTGGCACCATGAGGAAACAGTGCTAACCACTGAACCACCCGTGCCACACATAAACTTGATGTGGTGGTGCCAGAGTTGGACTGGGGTGGAAAAAGTCAGAAGTCACATGACACCAGGTTATAGTCTAACAGGTTTATTTGAAAGTCCAAGTGAGACAGCCACACTGATTAATGTCAGCAACCCTGACTGGAGCAGGCAAATGGGGCAGATCTCAAAAAGGGAACCAAGTCAGAAGGCCATCATTTGTTGATGTGTTGGCAAGCTGATGGAGTGTGAGCTGCAGAGCGGTGTAGATCCTTTCATGATTCAGTGTGAACCCTGGTAGATGTGGTGTCAGTAGTGTGATGTCGTTAGTTGCAGTGAAGTGATAGCCATTGATTATACATGAGGGAATCTGATGGAGATGTCCAGTAGCTAATGTCCTGCACAAATATCCTCTACAGTGACAACCTTACAGTGCTAACTCACACTCAGGAGAGTGAAGCATTGAGTAGATAGTGGCAAATACTCTGGTGGAGCAAATGGATCATTCAGTTTCTTGCTAAACTGGAGCAAGGTTCTCTTGAGCTGCACCTGACATTGACTTCTACAGCCACCTATGTCCAAGCTGCTCTTGCAAGTTGGGATGGCATCTTGTTGCCATCATGGCTTCACTAAAGTGCAGTGCTGCTTTTTTGCCTTGTCTCTGACATCTCCACAAGTGGGTGACGGTCATGAAGGGAGGTTGAGTAATGCTCTTGAATCACAAAGAATGCTCACTGAGTGTCTTTCAAATATTGTTACAAAGTTGGGTGGAGTATTCATGAATTGTAAGGTACGAAGCTAAAGTGTGATCACACTGGAAGCAGTTTATCACAGGTGAGAAAAGAAACCCAAGAGGGTGAAAAGGAGGCAAGATGCCTCAGGTGTTTTCTCTGTAATGGAATGGGACACATATAGTCACAGTGCTGGTGGTTTAAGAAAGGCACTGGGAAAAAGGATCATGTAAGTGGTAAAAGATGCTAAACCAATGGGATTAGTTGAGGTGGTGAACGAAATCCTAAAAGGAGTCGAGGAGCTGCAGGGGTTATCGGCTGGATATAGAGATGGTGCCCAATCTCTACAAAAACTTCAACTCTGTTTACTCAAGAAGAACAGGGGCAGAAGGTAAAGAAGTTACAATATTGAGAGATACGGAAGCTGGTCAGTCTCTAATAGTAAGAGATGAAAGAATTTGCACTTCTTCTGGAATGTTACCCAAGAAAAGGAAAACACCCTGGAATTTTTCCAGACTGCATGGAGACAAGATCCCACATTTATAGGTTAAAGCAAGAGGATGAAAAAGCAAAGAGAAAGATGAAGAAGTTGAGGTCCAGTCTGGTAAAGGAAGAACCTAAACAGGTAGGGGATCAGGCAGAGTGTTTAGTTCTGAAAGATTACTGGAGTTACAACAAAAAGATGAGACAATAAAAGATCTATATTATAAAGCCTACTCGGAAAAGGAATCAGAATGTAGTCCTGAGTGTTATTATCTCAAGAATAGAATCCTAAGATGAAATGGAGACCTCAGTTGGTTACCACAGAGGAGAAATGGGCAGAAGTGAACCAGATTGTGTTGCTGGTAGCATACAGACAGGAAATATTACGGGTAGCACACAAATTACCATTAGGAGGTCATTTAGGAGTGAGGAAGACTCAAGCTAAAATAAAAAAGCATTTCTATTGGCCTGGATTATATAAGGATGTGGTTGAATTTAGCCGTACCTGTCACACTTGTCAAATGGTAAGAAAGCCACAGGCAGAAATAAAACCAGCACTTTTGATGCCCATTTCTGCATTTGAAGAACCTTTCACATGGGTTACGATTGATTGTATAGGTCCCGTCCCTAAAACCAACAGCGGGAACCAGTACTTATTAACCATAATGGGTGCGCCTACCAGATTTCCTGAGGGAAATGGCTATGGAAGAGTTGGTTGCTTTCTCTATACATTATGGCCTACCCAGGGAGATTCAGTCAGACTAAGAGTCCGATTTTACTGCCAAACTATTTCAGGAAGTCATAGATAGTTTAGGCATCAAACAATTTAAATCCAGTGCATACCATCCTGAATCCCAGGGAGCATTCCAAAGGTGGCATCAGACCCTAAAAACCATACTGAGGGCTCATTGCCGGATTACCCAAATGATTGGGATAGAAGTGTCCCATTGATATTGTTTGCCATTACAGAAGCCCCAAATGAATTGACTCAGTTTACTCCATTTGAGTTGATATTCAGACACAAAGTAAGAGGGCCACTAAAATTAATTCAGGAAAAATTGTTATGTCCGAAGTCAGAGATCTCAAAGTTGGATTATGTATCTGAGGTGAGAGAAAGATTAAGCGGTCGGTGAATTAGCTGAAGATGGTACAGCACCTAATGACACAAGAAACAGATAAGAAATCTAAAATTCAGATGTTTGCTTGTGGGGATAAAGTATTGGTGCTGTAATCAGTGGTAGGAGATCCCTTCAGAGCAATGTTTGGTGGTCCCTATCAGATTGAGAAGTTGAGTCAGATGAATTATCTGGTAAAGATGCCAGATGGGAAAAGAAACTTTATCCAGTATGTCATGTAAATATGCTGAAACCCTACTATGACAGGGACAGGGAACCGGAGAAACAGGTATTAGTTACTGCCCCTCAGAGTGAGGACTCTGAATCTGAATCATTTGATTTTGATGTGCCTCAAAGTAATTAAATAATGTGGAAGTCCTTAGAGAATGGGATAGGATAGTGAGTATCAGGACCAGCGGGCTAAATTGAAAGGCTTATTGCAGCAATATGAGGACATATGCAGGAATAGAATGAGGAAGACTAATACTATAATGCATGAGGTTGAAGTAGGGAATGTTGTTCCAATAAAATAACACCCCTACAGGCTCAATCCTCTTAAAGCCACACAGGTACAGAAGGAAGTGGAAGTGATGCTCCAAGAAGATATCACTGAGCCCAGTCAAAGTGAGTGGAGTTTGCTGATTGTGTTGGTTCTGAAGCCTGATGGTACTCAATGGTTCTGCGTGGATTATCAGAAGATCGATGCTGTAACTAAATTGCATTCATACCCAATTCCAAGGCTGAAGGACTGTGTGGAAAAGTTGGACAAGCCACTTATATAAAAAAGTTAGACTTACTTCGTGATTACTGGCAGAGAGAGCGAAATAAGTTTCTGTGTTTGTAATCCCAAATGGGCTGTATCAATTTAAAGTAATGCACTTCGGTATGAAGAACGGACCAGCCACATTTCAATTTCTTGAAACCCTTTAAAGTCACTATCGACACCAGCGATATAGGAGTTGGAGCTATGTTGATGCAGGAGGATGATGGTGGAGTTGAAAGGCCAACTGGTTATTTTTCTAAGAAACTCAATATTCATCAAAGAAAATACTCCACCATTGAAAAAGAGTTATTGAGTTTGGTACTAGCCTTACAACGTTTTATTGTTTATTTTATAAGCAATATTTTGGAAATGTTTGTGTATACAGGCCACAACTTTCCCATCTTTTTGGAAAGATTTAAGGACAAAAATATGAAGTTATTTCATTGGAGGCTTATGTTACAGGCTTTTAGTTTATAAATTGTACATGATGCAGGTTGTAAAAGTGTTATTGCAGATGCATTATCACAGGGTTAAAGAAAATGAGTAGATAAGATAGAACCGGTATGGTCCAATGTTATATATATGCTGAATTAGTATGAAATATATAATAACTTTAGAATACTGACCTCTGTATTTTGCGATAATGGTGTGAAGATTTAGAAAAAAGCCATCTTTTCATAATGATGGTTCATTGACTTCTTAAGGGGAGAGGTGTTACGAAGTTGGGTAGAGTTCATGAATTGGAAGGTAGGAAACTAAAATGTGTGGTCCCTTTAAGAGGCAAAGTGTTTTTAAGGTTAAGCAGAGAAGGTGTCTGTAAGCAGCTGGGAAACAGTACAGACAGTTGTAAAATTACAACATGTATCCATTGGCTGTGTGAGTGGAAAGATCAGACTTGTTTTGATGTTTTGACAACACTTTTAAATTTGGCCAATTAATTTAAAACAAGAACCTAGATACAGAAAGCCAATTGAATTTAAAGCTGATAGTGTTGACAACCTGAAACCAATCATAATATAAGAAATTGATGTGTTTTTGGGGGGGGGGGGGGGTATATAAAGATGAGAGCATTTGGAAAATTGGGAGAGCCAACCACCATCTGCAGTGAAAGCAAGTCCGCCATTGTAGGCATTAACCTGGCTTTCACAAAAAGTTATTAAGCTCTCTAAAAAGGCCCCATTAAAGGTACCACGGCATTTTTGCTCAAAGTCCTCACCAAAGAAATTAAAGAGAAAAACATCCAAGATGGCAGAATCAGCGGCAGAAAGAAATTTCTGTGACATGAAACTGACAGAAGACATAGTCTGTGCGAACTTGGAGAAATTAAGTTTTAATTTATTGTTGTCTTATTAATCGGGTTTATATAAGTGGGACTTGTGTTTATTTGAACAGTATTCCAGAAGAATTATTTCATTTAGGGAGTAGTTAGTGGTCTAATGGGCAATTGTCAGTTCTGTTAATTTGTTCATTGTTAGGGTTAAATAAATAGTTTCTTGTTATTTGTAAGGTGGAGATCAGGGATTTGTCTTTCTTTAACAACTTTTAACAGATTACGAGGGTGTTCTGGGGGAGTAGTAATCAGAGGGGAACCACTACTCCCATCATAATAGATTGGGGCTTGTGTTTTAGTTTAATTATCAGAGGGGTTTGGATATTCCCCCTTCATAACAACATAGTACTCAGATGTTAAAACCCGGAGAGACCTGACAAGCTTCAGAGTTTCTGCCCACGCATTAAATTCGGTATCTTATCTCCACGCCCATGTGTAATGAGCTGAGGAAGATTTAATTATGTGGGAAAATGGGACCCACTCCCAAGTGGAAGTCCTTCCTGTTCATATTCTACTTCCACACTTAGTCTCAAAACAAAATTCTGCCCTAGATGATTAACTAACTCTCAGGATAATCTCTCAGTTACAATGGTGATCTATGCAAGGGGGTTTGGTACAAGTTTAACTCATTGTATCTGATGGGCCCCAGTTATGCCTGTCTCTTTGTGGGGTACATGGAATATTTCTTGTTCCAATCCTACACCAATCCTTCCTCACAACTCTTCCTCTGGTACACATCATTGGTGCTGCTCCTCTCTCTCATCTGGAATTGGAAAGATTTATCCATTTTGCTTCCAATTTACATCCTTCCCTCACCTTCACTGGTCCATCTCTGACTCCTTTCATTCCTCGACATCTCTTAAACAATACAGTTCTGAAAAAGGGTCACTGGACTGGAAACATTAACTCTGTTTTCTCTCCACAGATGCTGCCAGACCTGCTGAGCTTCTCTAAGCAATTTCTGCGTTTGTTTTTAATTGCGAGTTTGTCTTTTATCTCACCATTGGGTCCTGCAGGGACCAGGTTGCTTGCTTCATTTCTTTATCAAATACATTTCTGCTACTCACCACAGTACAACAAGAGTGATCATCATAACCAACACCATAACCAACACGATAGTGACAGTCAGAGCTGTCACTGCAACCTTCAGGTTCGGATTGCCTGCAAGAGTTAAATTAGAAAGTTTAAAGACTGGTTAAAATGGAACCAGGCATCAAAGATCCACATCACATCTGGACATTACCAATTCACAGATGTTTTGCTGTGTGACCTCCCATCTCAAAGTACAACACTCCCACAATTCTGCCATTGGTCCATCATCCAGTTGTACTGCATTCCCATGGCTAATTAGAAAGCAAACATGCTCTTCAGATTAGAATCACCCTGGCTGTCAGTCCAGCAGCACTTTTATTACCTTTATCTCCAATATTTTTAGAATTAATTAAAATAAGATTCAAAGATTTTTTTTAAATGTTCCTATATTCCTGTGTATTCCTTGCAACCTTATTTTTAAAATGGATCTTCGATTCCTGGAGACACCAGGGCACTTTTGAAGGTTGGCAACTCTAGTCTCAATAAAGGTAAGAAAAGAAAGGTTGTGCTTGGATCAGCCTGACTGACATTTTGAGGCTGCACATGGACAGGAGAACTCTGAGCCCACTTCTTTGAACAGGATCCTCTCCCTGCCACACACTATCAGCAATATTCCCTTTCCCCTCACTCTGCCCTGTTTCCTCTGAACTTCCTGCATTCCATCATCTAAGGTTCAACCCTGACTTGGTTATCAAACCTACCAAGGACTGCATCTAGAAATGTTTCAAAGGAAAACCAGACTAATTTTTACAATGCAAGTTCGTTTTATTTTCCCACTACTTTTGTGCCTTGTGACCCAGAAATATTAGGCATTCTAATGAGTTTTCAATTATATTTTCATCAGCCAGAATGGAAATTCAAATCTTGAGACTATCCTCTTTCCTCATAGCCCAGTTTTGGGCTTGACATAAACTTACAGGAAAATGCACGATTGTTGTAATGTCAATAGTTAATGTAATTTAAGTAATATTTTAGAGAAACCCCTCCTTACACATAGACATGCCCTTACTCAGTCCTTATTCCAATTTATCAGTCTTCTAAATTTGAATGAGAAGCAGGAATAACCTGTAGAACAGGGTTTCTCTGTTGGATAAATACATATTAAACAATAAAGGTGTAAATAGTCATATGGTAGTTCAGTGCTGCTGAAAAAAGAGATGTGTTGTTGAAGCTTTTCATCTTGCATTCATCAGGACAGACACAAGAATTCCAAACTTCAAAGGGAACAACAATTTATTTGAATGAGAAAAAGGTCACTGATCGGTTAGTGAATGGTCTCTGATTGGTCAAGGTGTTGCCATGTCATGGAGAATGTGCCAGGGAACAGTTGTGCAACAAGAATTTGTGCAATGCCTGGGCAAATTCCTTTTGCTTACAGAGGACTGGGTCCTGTATATGAATGTATCTGGCTTCTAGGAGGGACCAGGCCCTGTCAATGAATACATGCAGCTTCAAGTGCCATGATTATGTTTCAAAAATATCTCATTGACTGTACAATGTTTTAGAAACAGCCTAAAATGGTGAAAGGTATTGCAGAATCAGAGAAGAATACCGTCCGGGGGATGCCATTTGATACTCAATCCATCATGCTTGTGTTGAATTTTCAGTAAAGCTATTTGGGACAGCACAGTGTCTAGCACTGCTACTCATAATGCCAGGGACCTGGGTTCAATCCCACCCTTAGACGATTGCGTACACATTCTCCCCGTGTCTGTGTGGGATTCCTTCGGGAGTTCCGATTTACTCCCACAGTCCAACAATATGTAGGTTAGGTGGGTTAGCCATGGGAAATGTAGGGATAGGGTTGGGGGGTTGGTCTGGATGGAATGCTGTTTGGAGTTGGTGTGGACTTGATGGGCTGAATAGCTTGCTTCCACCCTGTAGGGATTCTACTCATTTAATCCCAGTTTCCCACTCTTTCTTGATTGTGTTTGTTTTTCCCTTCAATGTTCGTTTGAGAGCTGTGTTTGAATCTGCAGTCAGGCAGCGCATTCCATATCATAAGCCGACTGTGTAAAAAGATGTTTCCTCATTTTTCCTCTGGTACTTTTGACAATCATCTTCCATGTATGTCTTCTATTTTCTAAGCTTGTGCCATTGGAAACATTCCCACCTTAATTACACAGTGAAAACTATTTAAAATGTTGAACACTTCCATCAAATGTCCTCCTAATCTTCTCTGTTTTCAGAACAGCCCCAACTTCTTCAGTCTCTCCATCTAATTGATTTCATTCCTGGTACCATGCTTGTAACTTTTCAAAGATTCTTTCTTGGAATATGGGTATCACTGACAAAGCCAGCAGTTTTTCCCATCCCTAATTTACACAATCAGTGATAGTTTCATGACTAGCTGTTAATTTCAGACTTTTATTACATAAACAAAAACAGAAATTGCTGGAGAAACACAGTAGGTCTAGCAACATTTGTGGAGAGAAAAGCAAGTTCATGTTTCAAGTTTAGTGACCCTTCTTCAGAGTCATTGGACTCAAAATGTTCATACTGCTTTCTCTCCACAGATGCTGCCAGACCTACTGAGTTTCTCCAGGAATTTCTGTTTTTCCTTCAGACCTTCAGTATTCCACACGTCTTTAATCTGGAGTTCTGGATTACTAATCCAAAAATACTATCAGCATACTGTTATAGGAAGGATATTATTGAACTGAAGAGGGTTCAGAAAAGATTTACCAGGATGTTGCCGGGAATTGAGCGTTTGAATTATAAGGAGAGGTTGGATCGGCTGGGTCTTTTTTCACTGGAGCTTAGGAGGTTGAGGGGTAACCTTTTAGAGGTTTATAAAATCATGAGGGGCATAGATAAAGTGAATGTCAAGTGTCTTTTTCCCATGGTTGGGGGTTTCAAGGTATATTTTTCAAGACATACTTTTGAGGTGAGAGGGGAAAGACTTAAAAAAGACATGAGGGGGAACTGTTTTACATACAGAGAGTGGTTTGTTTGTGGAATGAACTTCCAAAAGAAGTTGTGGATGAAAATGCAGTTACTTTTAAAAGACTTTTGGATAAGCACATGAATAAGAAATGTTTGGAGGGGTATGGGTCAAGTGCAAGCAGGTGGGACTAGTTTAGTTTGGGATTATCGTCAGGCATGGACTGAAGGGTCTGTTTCCATGCTGTATGACTCCATGACTCTCTGACTATTATCTTGCCTTCTACTTCTTCTTCGAGGCCTTGGCACCCTTCCTGAAGCGTTGTGGTGGCCAAAGTTAAACACAATTCTCCACATATATCTCTATTTAAAAAGCCAATGATTCTGTCTCTTAACAGCCTTCTCAACTTGTCCTACCAACCTAAAAGATTCATGTAACGAGCCCTCAAGTCTCTCTTTTCCTGCACCTATTTTGAACTCATGCCATAAATAACAGCAAAGCACTGCAGATGTCAGCGATCTGAAGTAAAAACAGAAAATGCTGGAGAAACTCAGCAGGTCTGGTAGCATGTGTAGAGATGGAAACAGAGTTAAGGTGTTGGAGTCCAGTAGTTTGGAATTGATCATCAGGTTTTATGCCATTTTGTTTAGCTTGCCTTTCCTCCTTCCTATCAAAATGTATCAATCCACATCTCTCAGTTTTCAAATTTAATCCACTATGTGTCTCCCCAGTTTGCCATTTTGTTTATGATGTCCTTTATGAAGTTAAAGCCCTCCAGAATTGTACTGAGGTCTCTAAGAATTAAAGATTAATTTCCAGGACTTTGCTGCGAGCAGGCAAGAAGAGAATAAAATCACAGGATCATCGAAAAATATTCAATATTTTGAATCTAGTACTTTCTGTCTTTGTTGCACATTTGTTCCATGGTTTGGGACGGTCAACTGGTTGGTCATGGAATTTAAGAATCACATAGCACAGAAAGTATCTGCTCCAAGTTCTGCTGACGGTATTTGCTAGCTCTGCGATAGCCAGTAAATTAGCTCCAATTTCCCTGTACTTTTTCCACTGCCCTGAATATTTTTCTCCTTCAAATATTTCCTCAATTCTCTTTGAATGTTACTAATGACCCTGCATCTATTGTTCTATCAGGGTGTACATTCCAGATCACAGCTGATTGCATTAAAAATTCATAGGATCCCCACAGTGTGGAAGCAGGCCATTCGGCCCATCAAGTCCACACCAACCCTCCGAAGAGCATCCCATCCAGACCCAATCCCTGTAACCATTTCCCATGGCTAATTCATCTAAAGTGCACATCTTTGGATTTTGGGAGGGAACCGGACACCGAGAGGCAGCAGTGCTAACCACTGAGCCACCGTGCTGCTTCTGTATGCCTCCTCTCTGGTTCTTTTGCCAATTGACTTTAAGTATCTGTCTTCAGGATACTGATCTTCCAACCACCAGAATGATTTTTCCCAAGTTACTCTACCAAATCCTTCATAATTTGGAACACTTCTCCCTGTAACTTCCTGCAAACAAGTGAAACTCCTCTTGTCTTTCTATGTAGATGGAAGTCTCTCATCCACAATACTAGTAAGTCTCCTTTGCAGTCACTTTCATACTTGATATCCATCCTAAAAATTGCAGTGCAGCAATGGGATCAGGGACCTACATCAGAAAATGGTCCGGCTGGCTAGCACCTACCTTGTGCGGATTCAGGAACACTATTGGGCAATCCACTGCTCCACACAAACTCAGGCTTGCTATCCATGCAATGGGTGTTATTAGTCCTGGTGTCAAAGTAAAACCACGTTTTGTACTGTAATTAAAAAGAAATAATGTAGTAAACAATGAATAAGAGAATAGCAGGCTTAAGGAGGACATGATCACACTGGTGAAATGGCAGGCACATGGAATTTAACACAGAGACTAGTGAAGTGATACATTTTGGCAAGAGTAACCAGGAGAGGCAATACAAACAAGTCTTAAAAACAATTTTAAAGAAACACAGATTTCAGGGAGTTTTCAACCACAAAGGTTTGAAGATGGAAGGAGAATTTGAGAAGGTTAGTTACAAGTTTATAAATGATGCATTGAGCATAACTGAGGGATGTTATGTTAAACATTTATAAGTAACTGTTTAGGCTTCAGCTGGAATACTGATGTATAGGATGGGCTGAGAGGCTAAAGGTTAATGATGATATTCAACAGCTGCATGAGAAAATAGATTGTAGAGGATGGGAAAATAGGCTGGGAAAGTTAATGATGATACTCAACAAGCTGCGTTAGTCCTGTAAACATTTCTTTAAGGGCTGAAAACGACAACTGCAGCTTGTTTTTCTGTAGTTATTTTCTGTACTAGCTGTTACATTGTGCGAGAGACAGAGAGTTTCGATCCAAGAATTGGACTTCACTTCGGACCGGGATTCAGAACGGTGTCAGGAACATCCTCAGCCTCCAGACCAGCCATTGATCGAGGGGTCCCCGATGGGCAGAAGGGCATGAGGCGTACTGTTTCTTTCCTCTCTTTTTCATTCTTTTTATTTACTTAATAAATGTTCCTTTCTCTTTTTGTCTTTTATTATTACTCAGTAAATTTTGGTATTTAAGCATATTGCTATTGTTGAGTCTTGTCTTAACTGCATTTAACCAAATCCAAAAAGAAACACTTGGATACACCTTGCAATTCAAGACATTTTTGATGAGGATGGGATTTGGGAAAATGTGTAAGAGAAGGGAAAAGCAACCTGATGCTCCAGAGACCTTGCATATTCCAGGGTGGATTGCAGCAGACTCTGGATTCAGGGCTATAGCTAATATGTTAGCACAATTAAGACTCCTGAAATGATGGGGGCCAGTTATAACTGGAGGTCAGGTTTCTGTGCTGTGTAAGTGGGCTGAACCTTGTACAAGTGTTCACTCTTTGTGGTCTGGTTTGAATGCACCTTTGTTTGTTGGTTGCTAAATGTCGTCCTGTACAATTTGTGTCTTTTTGTTCCCTGGAGCTTGAGATCTGGGGATACTTTGAAAGTTTAGATTGCATTTTGACAATGTATGATAATTTGAAAGTGCGTTGTGTGCCTGTATCAGTGTGGGGCATGTATCGTTAATGTAACGTTCTTTTAAGAAGCCATCAGTGGTTGTGCAAAGCAAAAATCTACAAAATGTTCACTCAGAAATCTGGTTCATAAAGCTTGGTAAAAATTTACCTTTTGGAATTGGCTCCATGTTGTGTTTGGACTTGGGTAAATTTCAATTCCAGAAATTACCACATTTGGAATTTCATTTTCCAGTCAGATTGAACTTCCAAACACTGTTTTAACATGAGTGAATATTTAATTCCTGGTGATAAGATTGGGTCATTGTTAATATCCAAGTAATAGGGACATTGGAATGTTGAAAATGCAACTCCCTGTGTGTGAGGTGTTTTGGAAAAGCAAATTTAATAAAGGGGTGGGCTTTTCCTTTGTTCAAGGAGGAGGACAGATGGATGATGTAATTACATGCAGGAGTTTATGCTCCACCTCCTTCTTTTTGAATCCATAGTAGATTAATACTAACTATTCTGCTTGAGGTGGAATGGATGGAGCTTGTTTGCTTTTTTTAAGAAACTGGAGACACTGAAGGCTGAACCCGTTTGCAGAATTTCAACGTTGCAATACAGTGATGGATGAGGCACCCTCAATCCATCAAACCATTCATCAATGACACATTTCAGTGTTGGGGAAGTACTGTGGAAATATTAATTGTAGTGAGTGTCAGGAATCTCAAAACCACTGAGCCTGGGTACACTTAAGCACATCATGACAAAAACTATATTGAGACTCACATGCCCCGGTATGCTAAAACACTTAAATTGAATACTTACCTGAAAATATAAACAAATTCTAGGAAACGAAAAGTGCATGCACACAGTCTCAATGGTTTCAAATGCATACAAAAATGGTTAGTAAATTTAAGGGAGTAAACAGAATATTGGATTTGGACAAATTTACAAAGAGATATATCAAATATCTAGAATGCGTTGTCAAGTAACTTTAAAAAAAAGTGGCTCATCTTAGAAAAAACTACTATGCTGGGCCTGAATCAAACAGAAATGTTTGACTTCTGTTTTAAAACATTATAAGATTATGATCCATGGACTACAAATCTCTGGAATTAGATATGGTGGTAATAGTTACGTTGCAAAATTGAATGAGATGAAGTAATTAAGGGTGGAGATGGTGGCAGAAGGCAAAAAAAATTAGAATAATGAGTTGAAGCAGCAATTCAGATTAATATGTTACAGTAGTGACAAGGAGGCTTGGATGAGAGCATTAAACTAATAGCTTTCTCTTGGCGATGTTTGTGTCTTTCCTTTTAAGAGAATTGAATTGGTGATCAAGCCACTACCCAAGGCATTGGGACCATACGTGGAGAGATAAGTAAAACCTCATAGATCATTTGATAAGATCATGTGGGAGTCAAGAACGCATGACATGGTCTTGGGATACCGATGTAAGTGCGCAAAAGTGAATGTTTCCTTTGAGATAACAAACATGAGATGGTAAAAAAATGGAAGTTGCTGGAAAAGCTCAACAAGTCTGGCAACAGCTATGAAGAAAATATCAGAGTTAACGTTTCAGGTCAGAACAGCTCTGAGGAAGGGTCACCGGACCCGAAGCATTAACTCTGATTTTTTCTTCACAGATGCTGCCCAACCTGCTGAGCTTTTCCAGCAACTTCTGTTTTTCTTCCTGATTTACAGCATCCGCAGTTCTTTCTGTTTTTATGAGACGGTAAAAAACATGCACTGAAAAACAGGTCTCAGACATGTCTATCTACTTGGCAAAAGGATTAGTGTGGCTTGAAAGAGCACAAAAACGTATTTAAATGATAGGACCCTGACACAAAAACCATTGAAAAACTGACTTTAAAACAATGGAAGTAGTATTAGTGACAGGGATGTAAAAAGAATTACAATCAAAATAAAAAGTGTGATTAGTTATTATGTCAAAATGTTACAAAAATGAAAGAGTACGGATTCTAGGAGAAGTGGTGGTGGACTGAGTGAAAGGACCTATTGGAGGACACACAGATACCCCATCTTGAGCATTTGTATGATGCATGTACTCCAGTGTTTAAATCAGTAGGTGATATTATAATGTGTTAGAACAATTAGTGCATATGAAAGAAGGCTGAGCTAAGACTCAGGTCGTGTACGAGTCTATGATAGGGGAATCCTGGGAAAAATAAAAGGTGGGAAGCATTAGTTGAAGGTAAAGCCTGATGAACATTAGAGCTGTATTGTTTGATACCATGTATATTATCGCTCAAAACGGGGGTACCTGCATTTGGAGGCAGTTACCACTCAATGATACTATCATTCATAAAATTGCCAAGGAGGGAAACATATTGAAGAAGTATCCTCAAGACAGATACAGGTGAAGAGAGCTGGAGAAATTTTGAGTCCGTGTATGGCGTTATTTTACTGTTATTGGGTGAAGTGATCTGTGGATAGGGAACTTTAAAAAAACACAAATTAAGAAACTTGAATTTGGAATATACTGAATTTTAGAGCAAATTATGCAGATTAACTGAAAAAAATGTAGTTGATTTCTGGTCGCCTCAGTCAAGTGGCACAAATTGCCGGTTCCATCAGAGGCTTGACCGTACATCAGGGGTGGGATAAGGGTTGGTCCCCAAAGCCTTCTGCGGTCGTTAATTTGATGATACACCTTATTGTTGTTTTACTCATATTAATGACAGTTATTTTCATTGTAGTTTTAATCTTCTAGTGTCAGTTACATATTCTTGTTATACGTTCTTGCGCGATTGTCATTGATTTGCATCTGCATCTGCAATTGTGGCATGCGCTGTCAAATATCATCAGGGTTGAATGTATAGGGTGGGCTGAAAGGCTAAAGGTTAATGATGATATTCGACAAGCTGCGTGACCTTGAATGAGTCCTGTGAACATTTCTTTAAGGGCCGAAGACGACAACTGCAGCTTGTTTCTCTGCAGACATAGTAAGAACTGCCGATGCTGGAATCTGAGATAACAAGGTGTAGAGCTAGATGAACACAGCAGGCCAGGCAGCATCAGAGGAGCAGGAAAGCTTCTGAAGAAGGGTC